GAGCACATGATGCTCTTCCATTAAGGGTCTGTTAGATTTTTTTAATCAACAATTTTCATGGGTTTTTTAGGCTGTGGTTGATGGAAGGAGAATATGATCGGCATTTGTGATAAATAAGGTCATTTTTATTAGGTAAGTGAAGAGGACCAAGTATGTCAAATTGCTTGGACATTCTTTCAATAAATCCTTTTATAGAATTATTTGGAACAAGAGGAAAGAGACCTGAATTTTTGAGATTTTATGAAATTTTTTGTGGTGTTGGCATGTAACGTAGAACGTTTGATGATATTTGTGTGATTTTATCTATCTTGAAGGAGTCTTTCAGTTTTTCTCTGTTTTTCAATAATCACTTTAGGTATTGCAGAGTTAATTCATTTGTTCAACGCTTTTTCGATGTAAGCTCAGTGTTATTGGAATCCCCAATATCATCCAAGCAATTAATATGAAATATTAACCGTGACTAAGATAGTGTGATTATCAAGTTTTTCAATCTTAGCAGGGATATCATTTGAAACTACTGCATCGTTTCAGAGATTGAAAGATGTTGTTGGGAAGTGAAATATTGGAGAGATGCTATTCGAAATGGATGATATTCTCAGGAAACCTATTCTAGAGTTTACAGATACCATTCGTTACCATCACTACATGTCCAAGTTTCAAACAATTCATTCACATTATTCTGATCAACAAAAACAAAACTATAAAAAAACGAATTCTTTCTTTATATTGAATGAACATGTTTATGGGTGAATATAATTTTGATGTTTATTCTTCCTTCTGCTCTGATAATGAAGAGCATGCATGTAAACGTTTCGTCTTTTTAATGTTTCGTCCAGAGAATGAATCCTCTTCATTCAGCTGTACTAATTCATCTTGTTCCTCGTTGTCAATAGGTTCTTCATGTGTTGCACTCAAAGAAGGCTCTTTCACTCTTCTCTTTCTTTTCAAAGTGGAAAGTTTCAATTCGTCCTGACATGTTTCGAATACATGTTGAGTTGAATAGTATTGATTGAAAAGATCATCCCAATGATTCGTGTTATGCACACTCTCATCAATAGAAGTAAAAAAGGGAAGCCTTCCACTCCAACATGCCAAAGGATAATCTCCACATGTATTCGAAACTATTCTACAATACCTTTCCAAGCCTTCCTGATCTCTTTCCTTTAACATTTCTGATTCTTCCATCATGATTGCAACCTCTCCAGATGAGCCACCACCCATTCTTCTTGAACTTTCCATCAGATAACTCAACTTGTTTGTTGTTTATTTGTTTAACTCTTGAATGTTGTGAAAAATTGTTTCAAAAATTTTCTTCAACAAGTATTGAACTCCATTTTACATAAGTACCCCACACAATCAGACTACACAGTCTTACCAGGGTTAGCGTCTCAATCAGAGAATTGCATCTCAAAAAGAACCCTAACTGAGATGCAACATGATGATCTTCCAATTAAGGGTCTGTTTGATTATTTTAATCAACAATTTTCATGGAGACAGCTGTGGTTGATGGAAGGAGAATATGATCGGCATTTGTGATAAATAAGGTCATTTTTATAAGGTAATTGAAGAGGACCAAGTATGTCAAATTGCTTGGACATTCTTTCAATAAATCCTTTTATAGAATTATTTGGAACGACTTTTGAGATTTTATGAAATTTATTATGGTGTTGGCATGGAACGTAGAACGTTTGATGATATTTGTGTGATTTTTGATTATTCATCGTCAGCAAAGTTTAGCACTCTTCTCGTGTTGGAATAGGATGTTGAAAGACTCTGTGTGTGATTCTATCTTGAAGGAGTCTTTCAGTTTTTCTCTGTTTTTCAATCATCATAATTTTAGGTGTTGCAGAGTTAATTCATGCTCAAGGCTTTTTGGATGTAAATTATTCGAAACATGTGGAAAGTGTCTCTGGACTAAATGGTGTATTATTTTGGATGCATGACATGTCGTATGAGTAGCAGAGATGTTGTTGGTATATATAACATCTATTCGAAACTTTTATGAGAATTTTTCAATCTTTCACAAATGTAAAAAGGTAATAGTTAAGTTAGTTATCCTAGTCACTTTACATTTCGAATATCGTAGTTTATTGACCATTTCGAAAATATTAAGCATGCATGAAAATGACATTTTAATAATATGATTCGCCTAAACGATTTTCATCAAAGATCAAATAGAATAAGGAAATGAGCAAATACAATCGTGGTTGGAGTCGTTGTATTATTCGAAACCATTAAAGTTTCAAAGTTTAGAATTGGTAATTCGAGAATGAACTTTTGTTCATATGCAATTTTTTCAAGGTGACAGAATGGAGAAAATGATCTCGGGCATTTCTGATAAATAAGGTCAATTTTTTGCAACAATTAATAATTGCTTGGAGTAATGGAAGTTTTGTACCAAATAAATCTCCTTCAAAAATTCCTTTAAAAGATTTTCTTGAAACAGGAAGGAGATCTGAAATTTTTGAGATTACAATTGAAGTTTATTATATAAGGCCATTATTTGGAGGGAACGTAGAACGTTTGGTGATATTTGGGTGGACATTTTGATTATTCCTCATCATCGAAGTTAAGTACTCTTCTCACGATGGAATAGGATGTTGGAAGTGAAATAGGCTGGTTTCGAATGCTTTCTAACAAGGCTTTTTGAGACCTCTCTTTGGCTCTTCTACGTTCTTCCTTGATCGAAGGAGGCTTTCTTTCAGAATCGTTGAATTGAGATGGGATAAACAGAGGTTGTTTGAGAGATTTCGAATGAGATTCGGTTGATTGATAGAATAATTTACCTGTGATTCTATCCTGAAGGAGTCTTTCTGTTTTTCTCTGTTTCTCAATCATCACTTTAGGTTGGTGAAGAGTTGATTTCATTTGCTCAAGGCTTGTTGGTTGTAAACTATTCGAAACATGTGGAATGTGACCGAAATGAATCCAAACCCTCTCTGGTTCGTTAGTACAGCATGTTTCTTCTGATAATGGTGAGCTGATCATCTTTTCATTCGAAACAAGGCTTGTTTCTTGATTATTAAAATGTAATTCCTTGATGTTAGAGTTGTTCATCATTGTGTTTTTTTTGATTGTTTTTCGAACATGATAGTTGGCGGTAGGCATGAACCATTTCACAAGCCTTGACGCCATGAGCTGACACATTTCTTTGGTTTTTAAAGTTTCCTTAAATGGCATCCAAAATTGGTTTTGATTTGTGACTTATTAATTGTACAACTTTGACAGAATTGGCGCATCTCAGTAATTTAAGGAAGGAACTCCAATGTATTAACTTGATGTTGTGGTTTCACATTTGCTACTCATTTGGAAATATGGAGTTTGGCCCTGAAATGTTCGATCTATCACGTTTCAACATATTTTTAACATTATTCGATTCTCGTACAATAATCATTTTCAGATGATACAGCACGTTTACTTCAAATTTGACGCGTTTTTTGAAAGAAAATAAATTATTTAGAAAAAATTTTGTTGTTCTTCTGCTGTCAAATCCAAAATAAGCATTTCAATAGAACAACACCTAACCACTCGTTCTTACTCATTTCTACATATTTTTGAGAATGCTGCCACCCCAAGGGGTATGTCAATGCGAGGATTCATAATTTGAAGTCAGATTTCAAAACTACCTTAATTCCATCGAGAAATTAGCATTTTGTTGAATAAAATATTATCGTTACAGATTCTTTTCAAATGGAGTTGAGTTTACTTGCCAAATCAAAATTGAAAGATGAAATACTTTAAATTTTAAAAAAAACAATTTTAATTTCCCCAAATCTTGTCAAACTTGAAGTAAACGTGCTGTACAACAATGAGAACAGACACATTAGCATTTGATTAGTTGTAGAGTGATTCCGTTTCTCCACCTCTTTCTTTTTACTCATTTCTGTTTTACCTTCCACAATTGTATATTCGAAACCTTATGTGAAAACTTGCTACGTTTCAAACTACAGAAAGTGTTGAAGTTCCTTCCTCAAATTACTGAGATTGGTTCACAATCATGTCTTGACTCTACTCTAATCAAAACTGTAAAGTGAAATGCGCGCCTATTTTCCTAACCTCTTTTGAACTCATCCAACTTTTAACAAATTTCTCAAATTTTTCTTGGAAAAAGAATAGTTTTATCATGTTCAATGTAATGGTGATATTCCGCTCCCTTAATCAATTTTGCATATTATTCAACTTGTTAAATGAATAAAAATAATAATATTAAACAAAGTTTACAATTTCCAAGTTCAAACAAACTTTAAATCTAAAAATAACCTCACAATTCCAAAGTAAATTTAAAAAAAAAGGTTTTTTTTTGTTTGTTGTTGATCAAAAATGTCCAAGGTTAAACACATTAATTCTGAAGAGGAATTCAGAGGTTACCTCCGTAATAGCACTGGAAAGTTGGTGGTTGCTGATTTTTATGCTGAATGGTGTGGGTAAGTTGTGTGATGTTGGATTTTGATCGGGTAGAGATTGTTGTGTGATCATTAATATATTAACTAATTAATAATTTATATTAATCATTGGTTTAATAATAATAATATTCGGATGATGATAATTATAATTGGTTATGTAATGACGATGATTTAATTTTGTGATCACAATGTATATCTTGTATTTTCATTGATTGAAATAATAATAATATACAAAATCATTCATATGATTTAATGATGATAATAATATAGACCATGTCAAATGATTAAACCACATTATGAAGCACTTGCCTCTAAATATTCAAACGTTGTCTTCCTCAAAGTTGATGTTGATAAACATAATGCAATTTCCTCAAAGGAAGAAGTTAGAGCAATGCCAACATTTGTCTTTTATAAGAATAATACAAAGCTCACATCTGTAGTCGGAGCTGATATTCAAAAAGTAGAAAAATTGATTAACGAATATGGAGATTCATTCCAAGCCTTCCAAGGAGGTGGTAGAAGTTTGGGAGCAACCAGTAGTAGTAGTAGTTCTGATACAACAACTTCATCAGGATTGGCAGGTCAAGTCTATAAAAATCCATGGGCTGATGAACATAGACCAGTAAGAAAGGTTGATGCTATGGAAGATGAAATTGATGAATTGGATGACGAAACTCGTAAGGCTATTGAATTGTCCTTGTTGCAAAACAAGTTAAAGAAGGCCACAACAAAGCCATCTACTGATGCTAAAAAGACTGATTCTTCATCCTCCACAACTACACCATCATCAACCACCACAGAATCATCAAGCTCTGAAACCAAAGCTGTAGATACAACTGTTTCTGATGAACAAGTTATGGCTGAAATTGAAAAAGTTGTTGATGCTAACATTCTTAAGGAACTTATGGAAATGGAATTTTCTAAATTGAGATCAATGAAGGCTCTCTTGAATTCACCACAACCACCTTCAAAGGAAGGATGTATTGAATGGTTGCTTGAACATCAAGAAGATCCTGATATTGATGAAATGATTCAATTCACTGTTGAAACTGAAGAAGATAAGAAGAAACGTGCTGAAGAAATGAAGGAACTTCTCAAACAAAAGAGAATGGAAAATAAGAGAAAGATGGAAGAAGAGGAAAAGAAATCACAAAGGGAAAGAGAATTAAAACGTAGAGAACAAGGTAAATTGGCCATGGAAACTATGGAAAAGCTCAAGGAAGATCAAAAGAAGAGAGATTTGGAATTATTCAAGAAGGAAAAGCAAGACGAAAAGAAGGAAAAACTCAGAATGAAACAATTGCTCGAAGAAGATAAAATTAGAAGAAAGATGGACAGATTCAGACAAGAAGGTAAGGCTGAAGAACTTCGTCAAGCCGAAAAGGATCTCACTGATTTGCAAAGAATGGGTTTGAAGGCCTTCCTCGCTCGTGACACCACTCCAACTAGCTCTGAAGGTTCATCCTCAGCCACTAGCACTCCAACTACCACTCAAACTCCTGCCCAACCACAAGAAAGTGCCATCAGAGTTCGTCTTTTGGATGGTACAACCATAACTGCCAAATTCAAACCAACTGATACCATTAAGGCTGTCCATGCTCACATTGCCACATTGGTTAAGGATTCTACTTTCTCATTCAATTGCCCAGGTGTTCCACCAAAAACATACTCCCTCACATCAGCTAATATTAACAAGACTTTGGAAGAAGAAGGTTTACATCCAAGAGGTCAACTCATTTGTACTCGTAGATAAACTCATTGTAAATTTTATTTATTTGAAAATTTGTGTAGATACTTCTTCAAGCCAAGTGGATCTTTCTTCTTATCAATGAAATATCAACCTTCTTGACTGGCTTTTCACATAAAACATAAAGTGGAGATGTGAAATATGCACTATTTGATTTTGCAAATAAATCCATTGCTTTCCAATCTCTCAACTTGATATCCTTTGTTTCTTCAATGTATTCCTGAAGAATGCCTTGGAATGGCATTAAAGAGGTTGAGAGTGAAATAATTCTCAATCCAAGAGTCTTTTCCACATATTGAGCCATTTTCTCAAAAGAAAATCCATTCCTATTATTCTCATCCAAATCATTCCCCAATGGTGAAAATATCAAATCAGCAAATGAATTCAAATTATAAAATTCTGCCAATTTTGAAAATTGCTCAGCAAACGGTGAAGGATGAAGAGAAAGCAATTCTCTTGCTCTTATTAGTTCATCCTTAGTTGGAGCTCTCTTCAATTTTGGAATATTATCAAATTCATCCCTTTCAAAGATATCTATTGCTAAAGATTGAATCAAAAAGTTTCTCACCGACTTTAGAAACTTGGCCAAATATTGAGATGGAAGTGAAAGCTTTACAATGGCACCTTCTCTCACGTTGTGTTGTATCAAATCTTGGAGTGTCTTTTCTTGCTTGAATAGGTGAGTATTTGTTTCCAAAACATCAAAGACGCTTCCTGTCAATTTTTCCAAAATTGTTGATGAATCAGTGTTTGCTCTCAGCAAGTTAACTTCACTTTTTAGCACCTCCTTCAAGAATGCAAAATGAAAATCAGAACTCGTTTCCATAGCTGTCAATAAACATGATTGATATTTGTGAGTATATTTCTTTAAATCTCCCAAATCAATTGCATCCTTAATTAATAATACTTTTACATTCTCCTGATCGAATCCTTGGGACCAATACTCATTGTTATTTATCCACTCAATTTCCTTATTAATCTTTAGAGTAGATGTTATAATATTATTGCTCTTTACCAGAGAATCTTCATTAGAAATAATTGATAAAGACTTTTCATAATAATCAGATAAAATTCCTCCTTCATTCAATTGATGAATGGATTTGATCTTTTTTGGTATTCTTACAGTTTGAATCAATAATCTTGTCAATAAATATGGATAATCACGATGATGTAAATGAGTAATGGTGCAGAAATGAGTGAATGATTCACACAAATAATCAGATCCATACATGCTAATCACTACCAATAAATCGTGCAACTCCAAATTTTCCAACAAATTCAACTTTTTAGAGTTGGAGAAATCATAGGCATGAACAATTTCATCAAATCTTTCAATGCAATTCTTCAATAAATTCCTCTCATTATCAGTCTTTCTAAAAGCATATCTATTGTGGAAACATTGAAGAGCAAGTGCATAGTGTAAAGAGTGCATACTTGGCTCGAGGAATGATGAATTCTTCTTTTCTCTTGTTCGATTCATCTCTGCAATTGACAATAAACCTAATCGAATATTCCTCAAAAATCCTTCCAAATTGTTTCTCATGAGTAAACTCTCTGACAAGGCATGCAAAAAGAACTTGTTCAGGCATTGCTTTGGGAGGGGCAAGTTGGCAGAGTGGAATTCATTGAACATTTTCTCTACCAATGAAACAACCTCATGATCAGGAAGAAGAGAAACTCTTTGGAACTGATCAAAAGCTCCTAGTTGACTTTGTAAATGAGCAAACCAAAATCTAATTCCATCCTGACAGAGAGCATTCATGTGAGAAAACTCTGACAATTCTGAGCTGTCCAAAATGAAAAGAATCTGATAAAAATCATTCATCAAATGTTCTAAATCCTCCACAGAGATTCTTGTCTCATCACCAGGTAGACAGCATTGTTGAATCAAGTTGATATAGGTCCAAACGAGGATATGATTCACAGTGGAGTTGTAATTCTTCTTGTCAACCTTTTCCAACAAGGAGAGTGCACTTCTCAAATATTGCAATGGCCTGTTATCATTTGATGAGAGGCCAATATCCCTTCTTGGGACTCCCTTCCAGAAGAGATGAGACTGAGCGAGAAGTACATAGGCATGAACCTTACTCTCATTCGATTGAAGGGAAGTATCACTCTTTAACATTCTCTTCAGCAAGGTGTAGGAAATTTCTGGTCTCGCAAAGAAAACCAAAATGACAGCACAAATTTCCAAGAATCCAATTCCCATCTCTTCCAATTCCTTCATGATTGGTTCAATGTGTTGCACTTGATATCTCCAATTTAAGCAACTTGTTGGAAGGGCTCTATTCTTATATTCCTCATTGATTAAATCTTGCTCCTTTTCACCCAACATGATCTTTCCATCCTTTTCAGTTACAGTGCTATCATTTGCTTGTTTCAATTGATCCAAATTTCCAACTCTTTTCACAACACTCTTCATTGCCTTCAATAAATCATCCAATTTTTCAATAATGACAATCTTGTGTTCCTTCCTTACGAAATGATTTAAATAAAATTCCCTTCTCATTTCCATTTCAATTCTCCTCATCACTGATGATGATGAATTCATATTCGAGAAGGGATTAATCAATTCCTGAGTTTTTTCCAACAGTGCCTGTTCATCCTGTAATTTCTGAATGCACTTGTTCAATTCCGATTCAAAAGTTGATCTCTCTTCCTTTGATTGATTTAATTGTTGATTATTGAGAGCATCTGCTAATACTTGATAGGCTTTTCCGAAACGATTCAATTCCATCAAACCTTTCGAAAGTCTGAAATAACCTTTACTGAATTTCGGATCCAATTTTATGGTTTGTTCTGCATCACGAATCATGGATCGATAATCGGCAATATTCTGATAGCAGGCACTTCTGTTGGAATAATAGATGGAATTGTTCGGATCTAATTCTATACATTTTGAATATAATTCAATGGCTCGATCATACTTTTTCAATTTGAAAAATTGATTTCCTTCTTCTTTAAATTTTTGTGCTTGCTCTGGTTGAGACATTTTTTTGAAAGCTTGGTTATCGGAATTGATACTGTTACAACAATTCCGATATCAAAAGATAATGTCAATGATAATCACAAGTGATCTGCCAAATGTCATAAATTGAGAAAGATTTAATATAAAATAAATTTATTAAGGGGTATATAAATGTATATAAATTTCAGAGATTAGTTATAACTAATATCTGCAGTGAAGGTTTAAGGGTGGTGATGAGACCAATATTCCGTACAAGTGAGTATGCTGGCAAAACGTTGTCAGACAACAATCACATACAAACTTGCAAAGGGTGTTATACAAATGTGTTAAGTAAATTGGTTGGTGGGCGTGGAGAAACCAGAATCAATCTCAAAACAAGTATTGTGTCAACGCCGCTTGAGATGAGATTAAACAATGTGCCTCTGGTTTTTGGTTAGAGATTTGATGGATGTTAGCATATAGGTTTGTCAAGGAAGAGGAAGAACTATTAAATGTTCCACTCCCAAAACAAACCAAACTTGTAAATATAGTACAGTTGAAGCAGTATCACCACTATTTGCCAATATAAAGTTTTGGAGCTTGACAAGTAAAGTGAGCAACACTACTACAAGTAAATATGCATAATATATAAATGAACCACTGCCACCATAAAATAAAACTCATCCCAATAATTCCTTAATCTACAAGTCCAAAATGGACAAGTTGATAAACTCGTGAGGCTTTGGAATGGTAATAAATGGTTTGACCTTTACCTTCTTATCCTCGGCGAGTACCTCCACTTCATATTCATTGTAGTAGATTCTAGCCTTTTCATTAAAGCCATAACTCTTGTAGAGTTGTTGAGAGTAGGCACCAGTACATTCAACAAGGACTTCGTTGTATCCAAGTTGTTTGGCATATTCGAGGTTCTTCTCGAGCATTCTGGTAGCCAATCTCATTCTACGAGCAAAGGCAAAGACACCAGCACTACAGACTTTCATAGTCTTCTTCTTCTTTTCGCCGCTTTTGATGCCATCGAATGAAGTACGAGGGGAACCATGAGATTCGAATGGTGATTCTGGTTCTTCTTGAATAGCCTTTTCGTTAGCATGAAAAACTTCATGCAAACGTTCAAGCAATTCACCTTGAACAGTAACACCAGGATCATCACTGTGAGGTTCAACCCAGGTTTCATAGTCATGGCACAAGTGGAATCCAACAACCATCTTGGAGTTTCTGTCAATGGCCAACATGCTCAACTTGCCATCACAACATTGTTGTGCATAGACAAGAGAGTAGGCGAAAAAGTTGATTGGATTGGTACGAGTGGCAATACAGAGAGGTTCTTCTTGAGCAAAAACAACAGAGAGAGCTACGGCTACTTGTTGTACATACTCTTGAGTGAAGAGAACAATATCAAATTGGTCTGCAATTGGTTGAGGGGAAGTAACGGCAGCGTGTCCAACTTCAACAACATTGGTTGTTGCCTTGGTTGGAGTTGGAATGGTCTTGGCTAAAACATCGTTGGACAAGATACCACTACTACTATTCTTCTTGTTAATATTGGAGCTGGTTGCGTTTTCTACTGATGGAATCATTAAAATAGACATTTTCAATGAAGTGTTGAGAGGTTAATTGATGAAATTATATGGTTTGGTTATTTAATATAAAATAATAGAGTGGATATATATATACTACTATTATGATGGATATTATATATAAAAAAACTGTTTAGTTTAAATGAAATGGAAATGCTTATAGAGAGCAATTTTGCATTGATATAGTTAATAAATGTAGAGTATTACTATTAATATTAATGTGAGTATTAATTAATAATTAATGGTAATGATTGGAAAATCACTATTATTATGATTACTTGGGTTATAATTCAAATTCTTTTTGCAATTAATATGGAAAAACTTTTGCATCGCTCGCCTGCAAAGCCGTATATTCTATCTAGTATTATAAGGAGATAATAAGATCTCTAGATGAAGTGCACAAAGCAAAGAAAAAAGGAGGGTTTAAAAAAAAGCGTTGGTTTGTTTTGCGCGGAGAGTTTTTACTACACTATTAGGAGTGTTGTTCGAGTCTCTAGATTTTTTTTGATGTTTGGTTTTAAAAATAGAACAAACTGAGGGTTCATTTATAATATTTTCACCACCTTATTGAGTGGGAGGTATTTTAAATGAGAACAAAAGAAGCTCCGCGTAAAGATGATGTAGAGATGAAGAATATTTGGTACTGACTTTGAGTAAGGTATCATTCAATATTGGATAGCCGGAATCATTCATTGAATGAGGACTAGTTGTTCCTGTGGTTGTATGAAGAACTATGAAGATGCATGAAAGAAAATTAAAAATATTTATATTCTCACTTCTCTCTCGATTGTTGTACGTTAAGAAGGTAGGTGGTTGTTGTATGAATAGATTCTCTCATTATTGAGGAGGTTGGAGGTTGTTATTGTAATGCGGGAGAGATAGGAACGTTGAAGGAATTTGTTTACTTTCCATTATTCTTGGTTTTCCATAATCGGAATGATTGGTTTTATGCTTAATGGAAATGTTTTGCATGTATTGTCAGGCATCGGAATTGTTTTTGATTCTTCTTCAACAAATTAACCCTAACAGTAGTTATTTTAAACTAATTTTTGATTGTAAAAATTATTAATAATGTGAATATTACATATTGTAAAATATCATGGAAATATTGGAAATATGATTGTAATTATATTATTTAATATTAAATATATTACTCTATTATATATTAAATAAATTAAAAATCAAAAAAAATGTATCGATTTGGAAGAATTAACTCATCACGATCAAAAATTCTTTCGTCGGGATTGTCATCATCGAGCAATAGCACTAACAAATTATTTATATCCAATCAATTTAATAATCATCATTATTCAATCAATAAGAAGAATAATAACCTTACAAATGGAAACACAACAATAACTACTCAACAACAGTGCTTTCATACAAATTTAAAGAATTTCCGAATGCCTTTTGATGATCCAAGATTTGAAGAGTTTTTAAGAAACAAACGTAATTTTAAACATTATAGAAATCCAAGTGGGCATGGTTTTGATGGACCTTTTCTTCCAGAGAAAAGAACTCTTGTGGGCACTTTGGTTAGTCTTGTATGGAAAATTATTACATTGCCCTTCAAGATTGTTGGATCTATTCTAATGTTTGGAGCTCTATTTGTTGGAAAGATGATATTTAGGAGAAAATTAAAGGAAATGGAACAAATGATGACTCGAACAACATTGAGAAATGTCAAATCTTTGAATACCTTGTATAGAAACGATAAATTCACAGAGGGACAAATATTCTTTAGAGATATGATGACTGGACAACCAAGTCTGGTTGATGAAGTATTGGAAGATTGCTTAAATTTTATGGATAATAATCAATTAGTCTATGAAAGATTGAAGGAGGAAGCTATCAAGAGAAGTGACTCTATGAAGGAATCTTTTAGTATTTCACTTCATGATTCTAAAGAGAAGGTTGAAAGAGATAATGGAGAATCCAATAAGATGTGTTTCAGCAATTCAAAATTCATTCGACTCGTTACTGATCCACAAATGATTTCAACAAGACAGGTCTCAGGAGCAGGCAATACCATGATTAGGCGTGTACCAATATTCATTATGGTTAAAATGAGTGAGAAAGAAATTGAACAATTGAAGAATGCCAAACCAGAACCAATGTTGGGAATGACACTTAATGAGGATAATGAAATTTTGAAAGAGTACAAGTTGAGTTTACCTCTCTACTTGGATATTCATGCAACTTATGAATATGGAGAGTGGAAACAATTCAAAAAATTGGACATTCTCACAACAGAAAAGGAAGAACTTGATGGAGGTGAAATTTTAATTTCATTCGATGAATTATCTTCAAATGATTCTGGTACTAGTATGAATGTTGGTATTATGGATGCTGAATTTGTTGAAAAGAAGTAAGAGTTGATTCTCATTTCGATAAAATTAAGAGTTTTTAAAACTTTCCAAAGTACAAAAATTGTAAGATATCAGTGACATATTGCCAAAAACACTCCATTTCTGTCTTTCTATTTCAAATTAGGGTTTAATACAATACCGAAGTCAACTTCATCATTACCTATGAACTTGCAACTTTGATCACTAATAGAAAAAATGTCTTCACTTATTCAAAACGTAGTGATTGACTGTGGATCATCAATGTGCAATGTAGGTTTTGCAGGAGATGAAACACCTATCGCCATATTCCCTTCCGTTGTCGAATATCACAAGATTAGTAGTAATTCAATCATGTTCGGTTATAAGGATAAATTTGGGAGAGTTGGAGATGAAGTATTTTGCAAGATTGGTACAACGTGGGCCAAGTTTCCCATCGAACGTGGCACTGTTGTGGATTGGGAAGGCATGGAGAAGGTGTGGTATCACATATTTTACAATGAATTGAGAACTGATCCTGAGGATCTAGGTGTATTAGTGACAGAGAGTGTGTTGAGTGATGAGGCAAGTCGTGAAAAGACAACACAGATCATGTTTGAATCTTTTATGGTACCATTGTTGTGTTTGGCAAATCAGGCAGCTTTGTCGATGGTAGCTTGTGATTGTCTAACTGGTGTGGTGTTGGAGAGTGGGGGTGGAATTACTCAATCAGTTCCAATTCATGAGGGACGTGCTATTAAACATGCAGTTTCTAGATTGGAATTGGGTGGAGAGGATTTGTCTGATTGGTTATATCAGATTCTAAACGAACAGGGTAAATTTAAATTGACGAGGTATTTTGAAGAGCCATGCTATGGGGCTGAGACAAGAAGTGGACGTTGCTTTTTGGAGCGTAATGGAAAGAAGGTAAATGTGAATGAGAGGTGGTTGTCTGCAGAAATTAAGAAATTTTGTTACGTGGCTTTGGATTTTGATAAGGAACTTGAACAATTTAAATCGAAACAATATGAATTACCAGATGGAAACATGATCACGATTGAAAGTGAAAGATTCAGATGTCCAGAAGTATTGTTTCATCCAGAATCAATAGGATTGGATGAGGGTGGAATTCATGAAATGATATTTAAATCAATTGGAAAGTGTAACCTTGAATTGAGACCAGATCTATTCAACAACATTGTGCTTAGTGGTGGAAATACCATGTTTGAAGGTATTGGAGAAAGATTGCAAAGGGAATTATGTAGTTTAGCCCCTGTTTCCATGAGTATCAAGGTTACTGCCCCACCAGAAAGACATTACCTCAGTTGGATTGGTGGTTCAATAATGGCATCCTCTGAAACCCAACAGAATTACATTTCAAAACAAGATTATGACGATGTTGGTCCATCAATTGTTCACAGAAATTGTTGTTGAACCAAATGAAAGTAATACATTTATTGCCACAATCTATCTTTCAACTCTTTTGACCTTCTCATAAAACCTGTATTAACAACAAGAATTATCATTATGATTGGATTTTCCTTGCAAATTATTACAGAAGTGAGAGGAGTAATATGGATCTGAGCAGATTCTTCAAAACAACTGTAATTGTTCGAACTTGAATCTATTTCTCCAACTGCTCTTGAAATTGAAGAGTGTCAGTGAACGTGGTATATGTGTCGCTCCAATCATTCGAACAGAATAACCAAATTTACAGTTCATGCCTCTCAATTCAGATTGGCATTGTAAAGCATTGTAACAATAATACTTTCGAGCATTTATTATTTATTAATAGAGTATTTTATTATTAATAAATTGACAATTTAAATCCCCTCAATAGGAATTTACAGTTATTGGAAAGAAAAGCTCACTCGGATCGAACTTTAAGGACTCCTCATTCAAGCATAGATTTTCACGGCAACACAAATTCAATTGCCGAACACTTTTTCAAGGTATCCCTTCAAAAAACCTTGATTTCCATTAATGATTCTACTTTACCAAGTATAGAACACGGTAACCAAATTAAACTTTGCAATGGATTTAGTTAGACATCTTCTTTGTGCATTGCCCTTCTATTATTGTAAATTAAATTGTTGATAGACTACTTGCCAACCCTATAAATGAAGCTACTATTGCCGTTGATTCACTCAATAACAACAAACAAAAAAACAATTCAATAATTCAAACTCTCAATTAAAACTCAAAAATGTCTGCCCAACAAACTATGATTGTCATGATGCTCTTGGCTTGTATCATGTTCTTCTTTGCCTCACCAATTAATGCTCAATATTACGAATCTGAAGTTTATGCTGGTGCTGCTGAACAAGGATTCACTGCCATGTTGTTGATTGCCATCTTGGCTGTTATTGGAATGGTATTCTAAACGTAATAATTCTAATAATTTCACACTTCTTCCTTGTATAATATAGCAGTAGTAGTGCCAACAAAGTGGCATACACCATGTACAATATTTGTAATAATAATAAATTAAATAGTAATTAATTTATAGAACTATTATCTCCTCTGTTCTTTTCATCCTCATATTATTAAAAATTATAACAATGAAATCTGTTGCTGACTGATGATTAAAGAATGAGTTAAATTTGTGCAGAAGCATTAAAAAACTAATTGGATAGAAGGCAACAACAAGAATTTCATTTACATTTTCAATTTCTTATTCTTTTCATCCTCTTCATCCACATCCTCCCATCCATCTTCGTCATCATCTTCCTCTCTTTCAGTACGATCTCTAATAAGAACACCCCTTCTCATTTCCTCAACATTATAAATCCATCCATCAGTGCTAATGCTCAATTTATCATCCAATGATTTTGGATCAAATTTAATGGAATTACTTTCATCATCATCTTGCATATCAGAGAGAGGTACATTTTCAGCAGCTCTCGAAAAGGCCTGATACATTTGATTATAAATTTGTTCCAAAGCTGATGATTGAACTTGCAATTGAATAATCATTTCACAAACACTTTCAAATCCTTCATCATCATCTTCATCCATTTGTGATTCATCCTTTTCATCTTTGGCAACTCCACTATCACAAGCCAATTGACAATACATACAAATTTGTGGTTGTTTCTGAACACCATGCATTAGAATATCAGAAAAGTGAATCTTGTAAGCATGTACCATATTAAACAATAACAAGTGCTCACTCATCACATAGAGATGAAACTCTTCCGATGAATTAATAATACAAGATTCTTGATCGTTCGGAGGTGTACAAATTCTAATTGTAGCCTTGAAAGGAGCCGTATATTGCAAAGTTGAGGACTGATACTCGGATTCATCATGGAAAAATATGGAAATTAATTGTTCCTTGGAGAGATGATCATTTACATGATTCTCAAGAGGTGTTATTGTGGATGCGATTCTATCGGAAAGATTGGAAATGGCTTGAACGTGTGGTTGGATTTCATTGGATGAAGAATTTGACATTTTTTTTTAATTATTTTTAATATTATTTAATATTTAAATTGAATGGGAAGTAACAGAGCTTTTTTAAAATTTGGAGAAGCAAATATTTAGAAACATCCAATCAAATAACAATTAACAAAAAGATTGAGAATCAACAAGCTGAATTAAAAGATTAATCCAATCAGTTGATTATGTCTTTGAAATGTTCGTGGCACCAGCTATATGGAACAGCCAGCCTTAGAAGACATTCAGCAGGTGAATAGCACCACGGACTCTAAGGAAGGTAATGTGATGGGCTACTTCGAAACCAAGATTGCATGTGAGGTGAAGGCCAATTCTCCAAAATGCCTCTCTACTCACACTTGTCCAACATTGAGAGGAATAAGTGATGCTCCTGTTTTAAATTCAGAAGGCATGTTAATAGGAATTCATGTTGGAGGCGATCAAGTAGGTGTGGTGAACATTAGTGAATGGACCTTAATGTCCTCCTCATCGGTTGACTATGAATCTTGTTAAGAGATTCTTTCTTTCTAAAACAGTGATAATTTAACCAAAGACAAAAATACTTGCCGCTATTAAGGAACGTACAAAAAACAACGTAACAAACGCCTCAAATTACAGCCCCCACAAGCGCGTAGTTCAATCGAGGGAAAGGCTGGTCTCAAAGAAGAAGCAACTTTGAACAAGCGAAAAAAACAACAGCAATACCGAAAAATTGTGGAGCGTTTGGTTCTTGCTCTACTAAGAAACTTTAATAACAAATTGCATTAAGGAGGAAATTTAAAAACTCTAGGATGAATTCATCAAATTGTAAATATAATAGTAGTTCTAGTAATATAGGGCACCTTACGCCGATATATAGTAAGAGCAGTACAACTAAAATGAAGAATATTTTGAAAATATTAATATTAATCGTGCTGCTTATTGTATTGATGAATAGAAATACTGTTAACACATCTTTTACCTTTGACCAGACAGAGTACGACAAAAAATGGAATGATGAGACCGATATTTGGTTCGGGCAATCAACTGCCCTTACTGGACAGACCAGAGAGTAAGTTTTAAATGTTAAAGATGAGGTGTGAATAATACTGTATTTTTGTTATTTGCAATGAATTTAACATTATGTATGATTCATCACTGTTGAAAAACAGACTGGGCTATCCGCTCATGGTTGGCATTCAAGCTGCATTTAAGGAAATCAACGAATTAGGAGGTGTGTGGGGAGGTAAGAAACTTCGCCTGTACTCTGTTGATGATGGCTATGAGCCAGCTCGATGTGTCAACAATACACTCACTCTTCTTAGCAACCATACAATATTTGGATTTATTGGGTTTATGGGAACTGGTACCAGTCAGGCAATTCTTGACCTTATTACTGCATCTAAAATGCCATTTGTTGGAGCCTTAACAGGTGGTCTTTTTATGAGACATCCTTTCGTACCAAATATTATTAATGTGAGAGCCAGTTATCAGGACGAGTGCGCCGCAATGGTTGAGTATTTGGTAAATGTCAAAATGGTGAGAAGAATCTCCATCTTTTATCAAAACGATGCATTTGGTCTGTCAGGAGTGGATGGATCAACCCTTGCGCTTAAACCACTGGGAATGAATTTGACCTCAATGGTATGTTATTATTATAATTCTCAAAATTACAACACAACTGAGTAATGTTGCTACTATCTCACCTTAATAGGGTAAATACGAGAGAAATACCATTAATGTTGCCCAGGCAGTAGAGGATATTGTCAAGGGAAAACCACAAGCAATCATTTGCATGTCAACCTACAAGCCAACAGTTGCTTTTATTGAGGCTGTAAAGAATAGGACTGACTTTGATTCGAATATCATTTTCATGACAGGATCATTCATTGGATCAAATCCATTACCCTATCGATCAAGCATTGTAATTACCCAAGTATATCCAGCTCCAACAAATACCAAATATCCAATTGTGTTGTCTTATCAAAGAGCCATGAAAGCTCTGAATCCATCCTACGTACCATCCATTGTAGAATTGGAAGGATACATGGCTGGTAAACTTGCAATCAGTGTACTCACCCAGAGAGTTTCAGGCGACTTGACCAGAGACAATTTTATCAACTTAATTTATTCATCCTCTACCTACATTATGGACAATCAAGTAGTAGGTCCTTATACTAAATGCACAACTGTTCAGAGCAGAAGACGATATTTCTTTTTCGAGGAGCAAATTTCTAATCCTCTTGTGCTACACAGTTTGACAGCTTCTCTTGCACCAAGTATCAAGCTCAATAAGAGAAGTCTAATAACATTAGATGATGCATACATGTCCTCTTGCTCATGTAACCAAGGTATGAGGGCTGTGTGGAAAACCATTCAAAACACAGACAATTCATTCTCGGAAATTGGTGAGCCAATGACTTGGGATTTACCTGGATCCTCCACTTTTACTTGCTTTTTTGATCCAACAAAGATTTCGCTTCCAATCATTTTTGGGCATACATCTGATGGAAGTGTTTACGACAATGACTTTTTAATGGGATTGTTGGCTGCTTTTAATGACAGAAATGATTTACAGAAAGGAGTCAGAGGAAGAAGAATTGAAGTATTGTCAGTCTCGGAAAGCTACAACTCCTCAACTTTGATTTCAGCAACAAGGAACTTTGTGGTAGATCATGATATTGTCGGCTTAGTAGGAAGCAAAGCTGCCGAGTCTGTAATGAAGGATTTTATTGGGGAATTTTCCTCGAATTTCCCTAGTATTGTCATGATTTCACCTCTAACTGGCTACGATTCACCAGCATTGAGATCAACCTTCTATAATAATGTTGCTCTCGTTACACTAACTGTTAGAGAAAGAATACTAGCAATTATGAGTTTTGGAATGAATACTTTGGGATTGTCCAGATTTTCGTTTGTGGGATCTAACTGCAAGGATGGTCAGAACATCTTTTCAGAATTCTCTTCCATCATTTCAGCATATGGACTAGCTATTGACAGTAGCTATCTATTTTCTATGGATCAAACTGTTAATTCATCTTTGATTACCAACTCACTTTCCCAAGATGCAAATCCTCAAGTAGTTATCATTTCCATTCCTGAAGATGTTACTAGTTTCAAATATTTACAATCAGTATTGGAAGGTATCAAATCTGTTGGTCTGAGAAATGAGATTCATGTCTTTTGTCTCTTCTTTAGGCAGATTTCATGGGAGGCAGAACTATCCAATCTTCTTTCTAATCCTTCTATGTCTAGTGTTAAATTCTACATTTCACAATCATTCCCTTATCTCAGCGTGAAACATACTCTCATAGATTCTTATTCTTCAATAATGGCTAAATACTATGAAACAAATCCAACCACTTTGGGAGCAGTCGAAGGTTTCCTTGTTGGAAGTTTTATTATTGAAGTGTTAGATAATATTCCTCTTACTTCAACTATCAATGGTAAATCCATCTATGAAACATTATATTCCAGTAAGGAATTTTTGAAATACCAAATTCCATTTGGTAAATTTATGTCTGGTTCCTGTAATCAAGGCATGAGATCTCATTTTATTTACCAATACACTGGCACATCCTTTGAGTTGGTTGATAATTTTGTGTACAACAAGGAAAAATGTGGAGCTCAGAAGGACAGCATTATAGCTTCTACTGGTATCAAGAGTCCAATCATATTTGGAGGACTTTATCCCTCTTCATATAAGAATGTCAACAATGATCTGGTAACTGGTATTCAATCACTCTTCTCCAAAATGAATGAGAAAGGTACTATCGATACACAAGTACACATTTATTCAGAGTATTATACTGATGAGACAGATATTATTTCAAAGGCTAAAACCCTTATTGAAAAGAATAAGGTATTTGGTATTTTGGGCTCTGTAATTACTGGTAATGTATCTGCTATTAGAGATGTGTTGAACTCATACCAAGTAGCAATGATAGGATCTGTTTCAGGACATCCAGAGTTGAGATATCCATACTCAAGATATGTAGTGAATTTGAGACCAAGTATTGTTGAAGAAGTAGTTTCAGCAACAAGATATGCGAGTAGCATCATTACGGAACCAGATGTTACAATCATTCACAGTACTGATCAGTATTGGAAATCAGCCGTGGCTAACGTAACTTACTTCTTCAAGACAAGTAATGAAGATATAACTCCTTCATACAAGCAATTTTCTAGATCCAGAAGTGTTGTTGATTGGACACAAAGTTTGGGAGATGTTGTTATTGTGATGGCCAGTGCTGTGGATGTGAAGGACTTTTTGAACAGATATACAGGATCATCTTCACTTATTCTCATTCCATCTGAGGTCATGTCAGATGTGGAATTCAAAGGATTCACATTCCCTTCCAATATTATTTCCACTTCTTTCCTTATTTCATTTGCTAAAGCGGGCTCAACAAATATAATGGCCAGAGAATTTCTGATTGATTATCCAGCATATTTCCCTAATTTGAATAAGACTATGGAAGCCTATGAAGGCTATGCCCTTGCAACAATGGTATCGAACATTTTAAGCTATATGCAACAAGCAAATATTGAAATGACTAGATCAACATTTACTTCTTCGTTATTTTTGAGATCAGTTTTTGAGTTAGGTGAAGATTATTTTGGACCTTATGGGGACACCTGTCCTACCACTTCTTCAACAACAATTAGTGCAAGATCTATTTCCTCATCTAATTGTGATTTGGATATGACTACTTGTGGATGTAATCAAGGTTCTAAAATGTTGTACTTGCAATATGCTTCTTCAAATTTGAATACCACCTATAAATTAGATCTAGACACATGTGGATTGAAACCAATAGTAAGAACACTTTCAACTGGTGCAATTGTTGGTATTTCTATTGGTTCTGCCGTTTGCATTATTTGTGCATGTTCTATAATGACACTGCTTTTATGCTGTTTTAGAAAGGATTCAAGCGAAAAGTATGCACCTAAATCAGGTTTTATCACTTGTGCATTCACTGATGTTCAGAATAGTACCAAGTTGTGGCAAGGTAATGAGAAGGCTATGAGGGAATCTTTGGAAATTCACAATCAAATAATGAGAAGAAATCTCCAACTCTATAGAGGGTATGAAGTAAAGACGAACGGTGACAGTTTTTATGTTGCTTTCAGAGATCCATATGATGCCATGTTGTGGGCTATGGCTGTTCAATTAGAATTGCTTTCAGCTAAATGGCCTAGTGATCTATATCATGAATGGGATTGTAGACAAGAGTGGGACTCTAAGACAAGAAAAGCCTATTGGAGTGGTTTGAGAGTGAGAATTGGTTTGCATTATGGTAAGGGTGACTGTGTTTTTGACAAGACAATGAAGAGATATGATTATTTTGGTACTGTTGTAAACAAGTCTGCCCGTATTGAAGCCTTGGCCCATGGTGGTCAAGTATGTGTGAGCGAGGATTTATTCTACAAGACCAGATCTCTTTATAAGGATGTCCAATACTTGGATGAAGCAAATGTTGAAGCAGGTTATAGTAACTTTTTAAATGTTGATGAAACCAATAGTGCCAGCTTCTCGTCCAGTTCAAGTTTCTCCAAGAAAAGACAGAGAATTCAAGCTGAGAGAGTGTTCTCTGCTAGAGATTTGGGAGTTTATCCACTAAAAGGGCTTTCTGAATCAACAAGAATATTTGAAGTGAAATGTCCAGAAATTCAACAGAGAGAATATCCACCACTCAGAGTTGATTTGGGTGAAGTTGAAAGAGCTCGCTCCAGATCTAATTCCATGTATGGTGGTTCCAACAATGGATCACAACAAAATTTATATCAATTCCAAAATCAAACCCCAAAACAGGACAGATCAAAAACAGGCCAAGAAGATGTTTGTGAGTATACACTGACTTCAATTGACAATACTCTTCATCCTTAATAAATGTATCTTTAATTGATAAAAACAGTCGAAATTTACATGTACTTGTATTGTAAAGTTTGTTCCAAATTAACTTGTTACAGGGTGATTCTAATTTGGCACTCTAATAATAAATCATGACCTGGAAATCGCCCCAAAACAAGCAAAAAAATTCACAACAACTGTATGTAACAATTCTAATGTTCGGATAAATTTTTGATCTTGTCATATTCCCACACTACCACTAACCGTTGATTTTCTCTCTTCCTACTCTCAACAAATTATTTGATCAATATATTTATTAAATGATTGACCAAAATACACACGTCTTGAAAAACAATTGTGTGATCCAATATCTATTTACATAATAATAATTATTCGAATGAAAATATTTTCATCATGATGATGATGAATGATTTATCGGTGGGTGATGATGAAAATTTATAGAAAAAATGTACGGCTACGGATCATATCAACAACCAGGTTCTACTACCACAACTACTGTTACCACTTATTGGCAAGGAATGGGTCAACCAACTTGGTTGCCACAAGGTTTCGTTGTTGTAAGTTGTTTTTTTACATTTTTCTCATAATGATGAAAAATTCCCAAATTTCTCCCTAATTAGCCTCCTCATGTCATGGTCAATCGTATGAATTACATGCAAGCAGCTCAACAAATTTTCTGGCAATACGATCTCAATCGTAGTGGAACTCTTTCAAAGAAGGAATTCAAATTTGCTGCTGCTACTCATTTGTATGTTTTATAATGATTTTTTAAATAGTAATATTAATATGATTGATTTAAAATAGTGGTATTCCTCCACATCAAGCTAAATTCCTTTTCAGAATGATGGTAAGTTTTAGTTTTATTTTGCAATTTTATTAGAAATTTGAAATAGGATCGTGATGGTAATGGAGTCATGACCATTGATGAATTTGTTAATGGTATGTTTTGAAATTATTCAATAATTTGTGACTAATTCATTTGCAGCTTACTTGTTCATTATGGCTGGAGGTGCTTCATACATTCAACCAATTCCATCTTACAGACATCGTTTTGGAGGTATGGGAATGGGAATGGGAATGAATATGGGCATGGGAATGAATATGAATATGGGTATGGGAGTTCCTCCTCCTCAACCATATGGTATGCCACCTCAACCATACGGTATGCAACCACAACCATTCAATCCTTATGGTTATCCACCTCAACCATTCAATTAAATTCAGAATTGAATAGATGAACAGTTTTGTAAATATAAACTATCTTAATTTATTGCTATTATTGAATGTTATGTTTTTCCTAGGTTGGTTGACTATGAGCTAATTAAAAGAAATTAATATTATTAAAAGGTGGTGGGTGTTGTTGTGGATCTTCACTAGAAAGTAATTGTAACATTGACATTTGGGATTGACCTGCAAATGGATTTACAATGCTTGTTGAAGCATTTACTGCAGTGGTTTCATTATTTGTTGTAGTGGTGTCATTACTTGTAGATGAGGAAGCATTGTTCGCTGGATTGACAGCCAAATTTGAAGAGGCTTGTTGTTGTTGCTGCTGCCTTAATGTTTGGCTAGAGGATATTTGTTGTACATAGGTAGAGTATTCCTCTTGGAATTGTTGGGTGGAAAGTGTAATTGAAAGATTATGAAGCAGAATTTGAAGAATTTCCTTCTCCTGTGGTGATAACATGGCACCTAGCTCTTCTGTATCATATCTGGTTGGTTCAAATAGAGCTCCCAAAAATGTGTAAATATTTCTAAAGTTTGGTTGATTGGTAAGTAGTTCTGGATTGATTGGTGGTGTTACTATTGTTGGATTATTATTGGCAGTAGTGGTGGATGGTGTTGAATTATTAGATGCAGATGGTAATGCTCCATTTGTTTGTGTATCCTCATCATTCAATGATTGAGGATTGGATTCAATTATTGAAATTGGTTCAATAATTGGTGGTTCATCTTGAACTTGCTTTCCAATTAATTGTTCAATTTTCTCCCTAGATTCTTGCACTACAATTCTTTCGAATGGCGTTAATTTCTTCATTCTATAATCCTGTCTCATTAATTTAACCTCCTCATCCATCATTTGAGTTTGCTTTTCAACATCCAATGTGTCCAATAATTCTCCATAATTTGATTGAATGAGAGAAAGCTTATCAGTATGAAGACTACTTGATGAGGCAGCAGAACAATCAACAGGTTCCTTATTCTTGACCTTTTCCACATTAGTTTCAAATCGTCTCGTTTCCAAATTCCACTCTCTAACACTCTCCCTATTGGTCAAGAATGCACTTGCCAAACTTTCTGGAGTAGTCAAGTATGGACTATGTCTCACAATAGCATCCTCCTCATCTGATTCTTCCTCATCTGATATTGAATCATTCATTGCACTTTCTCGAATTTGTTCTTGCCTTTCCACATACTCATAATAGGCAGGTCCCAATTTACCATTCTGCAAATATCTAATACCATGTGATTTCACTTGTTCCAAATCATTTCTCGATGGAAGACATTGCATAACCTTCTCCCAATCAGTTCCATATCTTTTAAAGGCTTGAAGGAATTGAATATGTTCCTCCTTGTACCAATCATCATACATTTCAATTTCATTGTTATTAGTATTATTATTAGTTGATGTATTATTTCCTTCCGAAATTAAATTATTGTTATTATTACTATCATCAGGAATAATTATTAAATTATTGTTAATACTATTTGTTACATCATCAAGGCTATGATCATTTATTAAATTATTCTTTTCAAGCTGATGTTGATTATCTTTTGACGACTCACTCATAATTGCGTCTCCTTCCGAATCGCTATCCACCTGGTGTTCTTCTTGTTGCTGATTATGTAACACATTCGTGTGAGGAGACATTTTTTTTGTGTGTGATTGTAAAATCCTTTCAACCTGTAGGTGGAAAATCAAGTTTTTGTGGAAAGGAATTAAATAAATAAGGATTTGTTGATTGTGGTTGTGTGTGAATTTTAACAGTCTCAGAGGGTTGGAGAGTTGGACACTTTGTCATCAGATTTATCATGAATGAGAGAAAAGACGAAATTTCTGACAATTTCAGAAAACTCTTGTGGATGATCTCTGGCAAACCAAACACCTCCCTTAACTTCCTTTGTTTTGACATCTTCCAACCCAATGACATTTTCTGGATAGACCATAAGTGGATGGTTATTGGAGAATATGACCAATAAATCAGTAAAATCATAATCTGTAGAAATGTCTGTTGGGAAGGCATAGGTTACTCCTCTATCAACACTACCCAAAAAATTAACAGAAATGTACTTTCTAATAATTTCAAAATGATTGTTTGAGCCCCATTCAGTTTCAACCTTTTTGATTTGTTCTGTTGAACTGTTTGAATAGTAGAGTGAAGTCCAATCACCTACAGTCTTGGCAGTCATTACCTTTTGGGTGAAGAACTTTTGTCTTTCGTTGGCAATCAATAGACTAGAATAAATCTTTGGATGAGGACTGTTAAGCAAAATGACAGCTTTCAAATAATTATCAACCCAAGTTTTACCTTTTTGATGAAGAAGAAGATAAATAATTGTTCCTGAAAATTCTTGTCCAATCAATATTAATTCATCTTGTGGTTTCTTAGTTTCAACAATAACTGCCAATTCATTAGCCATAGCTGCAAGTGTTAAATAATTGTCATCATTTGCATTGGTAGATTCAGTTGTTCCGAATCCTCTCAAATTAATACAATGAATGGTAAAATCAGCTTTCAATTCAGTAATGGCTGGTAAAAAAGCTCCTTCACAACTCTCTGGGAATGGATTAACAAACAAGAGTGTTGGTTTGGTATTTCCATTATCATCCATTTCCAGATACATATTTCCCTTCGTTGGTTTCTTCCTCGAATCATCAACTTTTGTCAAATAATTAAATAAAACTCGATCTCTTCTTCCTGTTGTATAAACTTGAACATTCAATGATGGAGTCTTTTCAATACTACTCGTATAGGATTCATCATAGGAAAATAAATAAGCAGATCGAATCGAATATAATATAATCAATAAAAGCAATACGAAAATAGTAAAACAAATAACAACCCAAGCAAGACGTCCAGCAAGAGTTTTAAATTGTTTTCCTCTCTCATGATTCACTCTACTCACTTCATCACGTTCATAATAATGTAATCTATTATGATGATGATGATTATCGTTAGCAGAATTACCTCCTAATTCTACATCTCTTGTCTCTTCATCAGTTAATTCTTCATCATGCTCGTGTATTCTACTTCTTCCTTCGGACATTTTTTTGCTTGTTCATGAAAAAGTTTCCAATTACCATAGGTACTTGGTAATTTTTGTATTTTGAGATCAATTACTACTCGTTAGCTTACTTGATAAATTGTTAGACTGTCCTTCTTCCTCATCACAATATGTATCCTTTATCAATATCAAATCTTCATCCAGTGATGAAGCTACGTGTTACGATGATCCCTCGTCTTCCAGAGTTGGAGAAAAATCCAACAAGCCTACACAACAAGTGACGCAATGATGACGCAGCACAACCAACAGCAACTCAAACATAAAAAATTGAAAAATTTTAATAAAGAATCAGGATCGAAAAAATGAACAACTTTTATAATCCTCTCCAAGCTACCTCTACGAATCAACCATCTCAGACAACTACTTCAAATCCATACGGAAATTATGGTACCAATACAACAACAACAACTACACCTACTACTTCAGGTGGTATGATGATGGGAGGTTCTAGTGTTGGAGGATTTTCCTCTCCATCCACTCCAACAACAGGCTACGGTTTTTATAATCCTGTTTCTTCTTCATCTTCTTATCAACCATCGACAGGAACAAGTAGTGGTTTTTATGATCCGAGTTCTACCATTCCAACAACAACAAATACATTTGGATCAAGCCTTCCACCTCCTCCAACCGGAAACAGCTTTTTCAATCCTACTACTTCTGCTTTATCAAAGCCAGTTGGTCCACCACCAACAGAACTTAAATTTGGAGAGAATGTACATGGTGCAGTAGGACAATCTCATCACCAACCACCAACTACAGGTGTTGTTCAACCTCCACCTCCAAGTGTTGGAATTTCAGGATCTGCTCTTCAAGGATCAAGTGTTCAATCTGAATCAGCCTTTGAACAAGGACATAATTTCATGGTTCAAGATGTTATTTCTCACATGGGAACACTAACTTTAAATCAACAACAAAACCAACAACCTTTTGTTCAAATTGTACCTCCAAATAATATGCCTCAACCAAAGGATGCTGCCGAGTTACTTACCTCTCATGTTTCTGGACAACCTGATGTTGCTCCTCTCTATCAAGCACATTATAATCTTTTCAGAGAAAAATATGGATCCACTGAAAATAGACCAGCAAGTGAAGTTTTTAAATTCCTGCAAAGTGATGAAAACACAATGAAAATGAGTTGTAATGCTGTTCCACAAAGTTTAGAACTTTTGAACAGATATGGCTTACCATTTGGTTGTGTTTTAAATCCATTCTATCAAAAGGAAGTACCAACCATTGGAGGAAACTTTATTGTTCGTTGTAACAATTGTAGAACTTATATCAATCCATTTGTTCAATTTATCGAATACGGAAACAAGTGGCAATGTAACGTTTGTAAGAATATCAATGAAGTTCCAAAGAGATACTATAGCCCAACTGATAATAATGGTGTTAGACAAGACTTTTTCGAGAGACCTGAACTTGTCAATGGTGTTTATGAATATTTGGCACCACAAGAATACATGTCTCGTCCACCTCAACCACCAGCATACTTATTCTTGATTGATACCAGTTTCCATAGTATTAATGGAGGACTTTTCCAAAGTGCTGTTAAGGCTATCAAGAATTGTTTGAAGGAATTGAAAGAAAAATCACCAAGAACCATGGTTGGAATTCTCTGTTTTGATACCAAGATTCACTTTTTCAATTTGAGACCAACACTCTCAAATCCTCAGCAATTAGTTGTTGGTGAATTGAATGAATCTCTCTTACCACTTCCTAACGATTTGCTCGTCAACTTGGAAGAAAGCTATCATTTAGTTGAAATTTTATTGGACAAATTGGAATTGATGTTTAAGGGATCAACCAATGCTGAATGTTGTTTGGGATCTGCTTTGAATGCTGCTGGTAGATTGATCGGTAGATTTGGAGGAAAGGTTTCCATCTTCCTTTCTCAATTGCCAACTATTGGACCAAACAAACTCACCAATCGTGAAAATTTGAACGATTACGGTAATGAAAAGGCTGAAGCCAAATTACTCCAACCAGCTGATCAAAGCTATAGAGATTTTGCTCTCCTCTTCAATAAGGATCAAATTTGTATTGACTTGTATTGTTATTCAATTCCAGAATCACGTAACTCCTTCTTGGACATTTCCACCATTTCCAATCTTTCTAAATTTACTGGTGGTTGGTGTAAATTGTACGAATATCCAGATCAATTATCTCATCAATTGGCTTCTGATTTGAAACAAAATATCATTGAAGAAATTACAGGATTTGAAAGTGTTATGAGAATTAGAGTGAGCAGTGGTATGAAGATTGTTAACTTCTTTGGTAACTTCTTCATTAGAGGTCACGACTTGATGGCTTTACCAAACATTTCTGGTACTCAAACTTTTGGTTTCCAAATGGTTCACACTGGTGCAATGCTTTCTACTCCTAATGTCAGCGTTCAAGTTGCTGTATTGTACACTTCTGATCAAGGTCAAAGAAAGATTCGTGTTTGTAACCTTCTTCTTCCAATTACTACTTCATTGTCTGTTCTCTATAATAGTACTCAAACTACTTGTTTAACTAATTTGATGGGTAAGATTTTGGCTGCAGATTTACCAAAGGAAGGTATTACCAATTCCAAGAACATTCTCATTGATAAGTGGCTTAAGGGAGCTGTTGCTGGATATAAGACTGTTGCCAATGTTGGAAGTATGGGAATTGTCATGCCTACAGCTCTTCAATACTTACCTCTTTTCATTTGTGGACTTTCAAAGTCTGCCATGCTTATTGGTGGTAAGGAAGTTAGAGCTGATGGTAGAAGTGCTGCTTCTTTATTCTTCTCATCATGTTCTATTCAACAATCTACATTGATGGTTCACCCACTCATGATTAATGTTTCACAATTACTTGCTGAAGAATCGGCCGAACAAGAAAATGATAAGCCAAAGGTTCTCAAATTAGAACCTCTCTCCAGAAAGCTCATTAATCCAGACGATGGTGTTTACTTGCTCTGTGATGGTGTTGCTATCTACATTTGGTTAGGTAAGAAGCAATGGGATGGTGATAGAGAAAAGTTCTTTGACTTGATTCATGATTTGAACTTTAACAAATTCTCTTTACAAGAAGAACCAAGCGAAGTGCCATACTCTGATGATGCTCTCCTTACCAAAGTTTTTGATTTGTGCGAACTTTTCAGAGTTCAACTCAAGTCAGAAATGCCAGTCAGAATTGCCAATGCTATTAATGAAACTTCAAACAATGAAAAATTCAAGAAGGTACTTTTCAATGATTTCCACAGAACATTCTTGAAGAAATTGACGGAAGACAAGACTTTGCCTGTTACCATGTCTTATGCTGATATAATTTCTTATGTGAGCAAATAAATTTTGAATTTTATGTAATTCTCTTTATATTATCTCAAACTTTATTTCCTTTCCCAAGTAAGGATATCGATTCTTCACTTTTTTCTGTCTTTTTCATAATGCAGGCAACTCCAATAATAGTTGCCAAACAAACCAAAACAACAGCAACCAACAATACAGATGCACACACAACCAAAATGGTCAACTCAATATCATCCTGTTCAGTATGGAAAGATGAATGCGAATCAAGTGGACTAGGGGGAATTGCTCGTTCTCTTGGCGTAATTGTTATTGTGTGCTCTGATGGTGAGTAGGCAACAATGAACAAATCCAAAGGAATATCATAGTCATTGAAGTAAACATCAAAGCTCTGACCAACAATTACACCGTCAAAATCAACATTTGTTGGAGCATATCCAGATCCAAAGTAGAAGGTTGGAGGAGGATAGAATGGGTCATTGACCTTATCAAGAGCAGTGTCAATTCTTACTGAAGATCTTCTTGAAAGCGTATACTTAAAGGTCACCTTTGAATTCTCTGCCAACTTGGCCAAGTGTTGGACATTATTCCTCAGAGTATGAATTTTGACATCATCTGAGGGATGAGGAGGATTTTTAATTCTTGCCAAAACCAACAATTCAAATCCAGCAATGTCATTCTTCAACACTGGTCTACAAATAAGTCTTGGTATCCCTCCAGTTTTAGTATAGACTCCTTCTTTTGCAATCACTTTCTGATTGTAAACATATAAACAGTGTAGGGATTTTCTTTCAATTTCCACCAGCTTGTGTTCTTGGGTTATGAAAAAGTCAGAATTTGTTTTAAATTGAAAAACATGAGCTACAGAAGTCATGTTTGGAAAAAATGTTGAGGTTTGAAAGGAATATCTTGCCAGTGGCACCAAATTCAATTGAATAGGAGAGAACAATTCTTGAATTACTCCCACTTTCATATTTGGAATACTTTCGAAAGGGGTCGAAGGTGGATAGAAATTAGAATACGAATAACCAACCATCATACTCTTAATCTCATTCACTGGTTTAAACCTCACCTTCATTGGATAGGTTATTGGGACAAACTTTCCAAAGTCAGAGTCCAACTCACCATTGAAAGCAAAAACTCCCAAAGTTGTATACTTCATCTTAAACGCTTGAGGAATGAAGAATTCATATCGATCTGTTGGTTCATCCTTACTTCCATCCGGAAATTCAAACCTCTGATCAATCATTGTCAACACTCTCAATGAATAAGGATCTATTGGATAGGCAGATGGAATATCACTAACCAATGCTAAATTAATTAAGGTTCTATTATACACAATATCTGAATTTTCATCATATTCAGAGCTAATATTTACAAATGTTAAATTCATTTTGAATAAGGTTAAAGGATGAAGTAATTGTTTGGTTTTCGGAAGAGGAAGAATTTCATCATTGTACGGTCTGTACGTTTGGATCAATTCTAAACACATTGAACCACTTAGTAGTGAATAGCTTGGAATGGAAATATAGAGATTTGATCGTGAGCCATTCACTCGGTAGATAAATTCTTGATTGGTAGAAAGATTAGATTCTATCGAAATACATTCTCCGAAATAATGTATTGGGGATGATACTTTTGATTTAGAATGATTATTATTGTTGTTAGTTGTTAAATTTCCTAAGAATGATGTGATGGTATTTGCCTTAACATTATTAAAATTATTATTATTTGATGAACAATCTGCAAACAATAAATTCATCACTAAAATCACCAACATAAAACTACATGTAACAACTACAGTACTATTAAATACACTATTCATTGATTTACTCTTCATATTTAACCGTTTTTTCAATATCTTATTCCGCTTCCACTATCTTACAAATGAACAATTAATTTTGCTATTCTTATTATTACAAATATAAATATATTGAATTAAAGTTGCTACTATTGTCAATGATTAAACGTTCCATCAATTAAGACTCCACTATGAATCATTAAGGATTTTTCTTTCTCTGAGAGAAGATATTAGCGTGCTATCGTAATTGCGATCCGTTTACAGCTCCTTGTGAGACCTTTCAGTGGTTTGTTTTCATTCCTTGATCGGAATTTTGTTGTTTATTATCATATAAATATATTTACATATAGAACAAGAAAATAATAATATTAAGGTTGAGTTAGTGGATTGGATTGGTTTGTGAAATTGGGAAATGTTCAGTGGTGAAATGAATGACATTTTCAAAGTTGAAACCCTTCTCAACCAATTTAGCTTTCGGAGTTAGGAGTGAATCAGACATTACAGCTTGATTGGTTCCGATCAAGTATTTCATCAATAGAGCAGCGAGTCTGTACTTATCTTGATCGTGTCCATGATTTTCATCTTGTTGAATAATGGACACAAGTTTGTGAATATACTGTTCACAATCCTTGGTGGAACCCAACTTGACCAATTTCCAATTTAGGGATTGTGCAATTTGCAACAAGTTAATTCGATCTCCCCTGAATGAATACTCTTGGAATCCACAGGGAACATCAGTTCCAATTTGTGAAATTTTACAAGCAGCAATTTGGACAATGTCTTTAAGGGAAGTGCAGTCAATTGTCAAATCTGAGAAGTCTCCATCTAAATAGAGTTGAACAGTCATATCTCCTCCATAACCTCTGATATTCCTCTCTTCGATAATATCTGAAAATGTGAGAAACTCAACTAAATAGTCAGTGCACAATCCACAATTAAATACCATATATGGAATTGACTTGGCCCTCAATGCTTCAACAATTAATTTACGTTCCTGAATGAAAGACCAAACAATTGAAAAGTTACTTCCCATTCCAAGTACCATACTTTGTTGTAACTTGGAAAAATCAAACATGAATTGACATGGAACGAAACTTTTGAAAATTCCATATGGTTGTTGAGATAACAATTTGCAAGTTTCAATCAAATTCATTTCTGTTCTAAACTGAGTATGTGGATGGAGAATGGAGTTTCTCAAGGCAGCCGAAACAATCACTTGATAATGATCAAGTTTCTTACACAATTCGGTTGGTTTCTCCTCCAAAGCATCTCCAACGATGCAGGTTAATAAATTTGTAGATTGATACTTTTGAATGAGATTCTTGACATTGTCAGATTCTACATGAGTGGGATGAACCAATAATCCAACATGAACACATCTAGCAAATGGTGAAATGTTACTTTCTAATGCTTCAGCGAATGGATTTTGTTCGAATTGTTTCGAACCACGAGTGAGTAATTGTTCAGCAAGGAGGAAACCTAATGGATCGTCCTCACCTGTGCAGATCATAACTTTGAGAATGCATTGTTGTTGATTGTATTGAAATTTTTGTTCGACCATGTTTGATTATTTTGATTTCGAATAGTTTTTTTTTGTAAGGTGGGATATGAAAGAATTAAAGTGGTTTTGCAAATAGGAAAGCATATTGATTGTTTGGAAGGATTGAATTGGGTATTTGTCAAATTGGGAAGGTGACCATTTTCAACAATTTTTAGACGAAACTGATGGATACTTTTTCAAGTTAACAAACCAAACTCGTTCTGTGAAATTCCTCCTATTACAATGATATTTATCATATTTCTCAATTGATACAAGTGAAATTTTTATTGTAAACTTGAATCAAATCCCAAATTGAAATCTTTGAAAAAAAATGAAGTCAAAGAAAGTTGCTGCTGCTTCCACCAAGAAGATGAAACCCACATCAATTATTGATGATGATGGTGATGATAATGATTACAATCAAAACAATGCAAGAGGAAAGAAGATTAATCAAAAGATTATGGATTTGAACAATAAGGAAAAAGAAAAGGTTCTTTCTCCTCGACAACAATCCGGAGTAAGTTTACTATAGGAATTGATCATCATTAAATAATAATAATAATTTTATTTATATTTTTAAATGATGATGATATGATGATGATGAAAATTTTCAGAAAAGTTCTTCTCTCTGATGAGGAGAAGGAACGAATTATTGAATTGTTGCAAGCTACTCCAAGTTTAATTCATGGCTCTTCTGATTCGTTGGATAGGGATAGGATTTTCCTGTTTAATTATGAGACGAATAGGATGCCTTCTCATAGGGAGTGTTGTTTCATTGCTGAGATGGGAGTGGATGCTGAAGATTTGAATGTTTTAGAATTGTTTGGAGAGAGTCCGAGTTGTGTTCGAAGGGTTTTTAAAGGAATTGTTGATGAGGTCAATAATGGAGTGTTGGAAACTATGAAATTACATTCGGATAATGTATTTTTGGAAAATGAATGGCTGGTGAGAGTGGAGAGAATTGTGCCACTCAAGTGTGTCATGACTGTTCAGAATATTCTTGTAAAGATTAGACGAATTGAAAGTGTTAGAACTTTGGTCGTGAATGCTTTGAAATCGTTTGATTTGAACACGAGAATTCAAGCATTGAAAGGATTGGATTTTAGCAAAATTGAATCAGGTTTGAGTATTGAAGATTTGAAATATTTGGCGTTTAGATTGGCTCAAACTGTTTCGCTTATTGAAGGAGTTGAAATTTATACGAAACGTGACCTGATTGAAAAGTATGATTCCAAATTGGAAAATTTAATGAATCGATTCAAAAATGTTGATGCTCAATTATTGCCACAAAGAAGAATGGAATCATGCAAGGTTTTGAATGAATATCTTGTGAAATTGTTAAACTTGATGGAAGGTATGAAGAGTGTCAAGTATAAGAATTTTGAAATATTAGGACTGAAGAGAGATTTCTCTCCGTCCAACCATTTTCATAGGCAATCGAATGGTATTGTCATCATTCAGAGAATTTATACTGTTGATGTATTACACTATCCATTCAATGTCAATGAAAGTGAAGCATATTGTCAATTTGCCAATTTTGATTCTGAATGTGAAATTATTGTTCACATCTTTGCAGATTTAGAAAGTGACGAGGTATTTATTTTGGAGGACAATCTCATCACTGATAGTAAGCATATCAAGACCCTGACAAGTCTTTTATCAGAGGGAAAGAAGGTGAAATCCTTACAATATTCCACATTGCAAAATTCCACATTGAAAGGATTGGATTTTTCACACTACTTCTATGTTTTCAAATATAACACTGTTAAGAAACAGTTGAGTATCATTTTCATGAGAGATAGAATGACCAATCGATCTGTTCCTACTCAAAAACTTTCCACATTATCGAATAATTGGGTTTTACAATAAATTGTTTTACCAATTAAGCAATACAACAAGAATTAAAGAGAAATAATTGATCGAATAGAATAAAGAATTTAATTCTTGCCTGGCCATGGAGGAGGAGTCAATGTAAAGTTAGCCTTAGCTTGTGCAAGGGTTCTTGTGTGTGGTTTTAGATCACCACAGACACCTTCACATACATCAACAACAGCATAATAAAGACCTGGCAACCATTCCAGGGCCTTAGCATCATCATCCTTAGTAGTAACGGTAAATTTGATAGAATAAGTACCAGGAGTATAACCATTAGGTTGGTAGAAACGTTGCATCATATTTTCAGTGGAGAAGGCACCATTCAAAGTAAAGACAACTTCACCAGGACCTGAAGCATTATAAACTTGCAAACCAGAGTAGAATGTTGTTGGAAAACCGTGTTGGATCTTTTCTGGAATGAAGCCAGAGTTGAGGAATGAAGCACATCTCTTAGCAGTACAATCCTTAACTGGACAAATGTTAGCCAATTGGCAGGCATAAATTGGATCCAAATCAGCCTTCTTGATAATGTCAATAAAGACATTGATACCAATAGCATCACAGATAACATTGCAACCTTCCCAGGCATAAGTACCAGATCCAATAATGGCATTACACAACTTGTAACAAGAACCAATAACACCAGCATCAGCAGCAGCAGCCAAATCAGCCAATGCAAAATCGAGAATATCTATTATATGAAGAACAAATAAATAATAGTGAAGAAACATTGTTCAATTAAATAAGGAATGAATAGTCAACAATAACCTACCAATACAAGTTGGGCACAAATAACCAGCCTTAATTGGCTTTTGTGATTCTGTAGAATCAGAAATCTTCTTCATTGTAAAAGAGAGTGATTTATGAGTCTTTTGATCACGCATTGGAATAGCAGCATTCATCGAAGCAACACCTCCCAAGATGAGGAGGATACATACGGAGAACACAATAAGGCTTGAGATTTTCATTTTTTTTAATTTGGATTGTTGGTTTGCTGCGAAATCTTTGAAATCTTGGTGTTGGGAGCGTTTGCGTGGATAGCAAATTGTGCAAAGTGAATCATTGAATGGGCTGTTTCAGTTTTTGTAAAAGTGTTCATTTTGGACCGTTGAGTACGGTATTTCAGCTTAATGGAGAAATTTTGTGTGGAATTGATGGAGTGAACTGGAGTATCATCAAAATTAACATGCAAGTGATGCATCAATTTGAACAATTTGAAAATAAAAATTTCATGGCTCGCCACGTTTACCGTCTCGGGAGGAATCGAACCTCCGTCAATGGATTCAAAGTCCACTATGCTACCATTACACCACGAGACGAGCACATTAATTGTAAAATAAAAGGTTTAATATACCCTCTAGTGTTAAGTTTGGTAATTTTAAAAATATTACCGTTAACAAATTATTTTAAATAATAAAAAAAAAACAGCCGACAACGATCTTCGCACCATCAATCGATGTCATCAATATGACATCACAAGAACAATACCTAGGTAGTACCAAGTTTGCTTTGTTCTATGTGAAGCGAAGCACATGTTCAAACGAAACGCTTTTCTTCTTTCCGCTCCAGTGATCATGAAAGACGAAGCCAATAAAGAACTAAAAGCTTTGTAACTGAACATATGGATCAATGAAAGGTATGTGATGGCTTTTTCATTCCTCACAATTTTATTTTCAAACTTGTTTAAAAATATTCAAATCCCACAAATTTTCTCCACCAACAAAGCCACTTTGAAATGGCATTTATACACTACTGGTAAGCCTTTTCTACAAAACATCTTTCTCGGCCTTTTGGCTTTGATCGAGTGTAGTATCTGTTCTTTTCAGTTTAATAGCTGAAAGCGTCCTACGGGGCGCGTTTACTATTAACTCAATTTTTTGTCGGGTCCAGAGGTGTGCCTCCTTGGAAACAAGTTGAGAGCACCCTTTGGTAGGTTTCAAGCAGACATTGCACTATCCGTCAGTTTTGGAGCCACCCTTTCTCCCATAATTAAGTGAATTTTTGAATAACTGTAAGCATCAAAGTCAATATTGGTATTGATGATTGTACCAGCATGTTGCTTGAATTTTGACCATCAAATTAAAAATGTCTTGTTGTTCCTCTACAGAATTGCATCGTGATGAGGAAGCAAGTAAACAACATCAACCAGAAGGAAAGTTTATTCACTTTTCTACAGTGGAAACAGTGCAGGGAATTTGTTGGTTCTACAGAAGTAATGGGTTTTGCAAGCACGATGATTGTCCCTACCAACACATTATCCCGTCCAATGATGATTTATATAAGAAGAAGTCTACAACAACATTAAATAATATTAATTCTAGTACCACCTCTACTACGCTTGTATCTTCATCATCACCATCCTTGGAAAGTTCTTCTAATAACAACAATACCACTTCTTTTTCTTCTCCTATCAGCAACAACAACAAAACCTATTGTTGGATATCAATGGCAAAGGAATTAAAGTTTGCAGCCTCCGTCCTAAGAAGAACCTTTGAAGAGAATGGTTTTAATCTCCTCATCAACAAGGAAGATTTTGCACAATTCAACAAGAACAACAAGTCTAACCTGGAAGATGATAATTATAGAGGTTTACCTCTATTCTGGGGACATGTTTTTCCAAGGAATAACATTGTCAAATGGTTCGAGTTACCATCCCATACTCTAATTAATCACTTTGTTAATTCACATGAATTATGTAATAAGAGTTTGATGGCATTGAATTTTCAGGATTTATCCGAGAAGAAAGTTAAATCCAAATCACAATATGTTCCCGTATCATTCTATTTGCCAGATCAATTGAATTTGTTTATTAATCATTGTGAAAATCAGGAGGAAACAGAGAAATCTATTTGGATTGTTAAACCAGGTAGATCTGGAGAAGGTTTGTTTTTTGTTAATTAATACTTTTTATTATAATATTAATTTAAATATAATGATGATAATTAAAAGGAAGAGGAATTCAAATATATCAATCCTATCAACAAGTTATTGTTGGGGAATTTCCACAAATTCCAACATGTGAGATTGAGAGTGGAATCATTTCGGAAAAGAGTTTAAAACTTGGCAAACACAAGATGGTTGTCTCTAAATACATTGACAATCCACTATTGATTGAAAACAAAAAGTTTGACATGAGAATGTATGTTCTCTTGATTGGTGGAGGTTCTCAAGAAAGATTTGGATCCAACACTGAGGAATTTCACACCTACTTTTACAGAGATGCCATTGTTCGATTCGCAAGTGAGGATTATACGACAGATTTAGATACTTTGAAGAATCCATTCATTCACATTACCAATAATTCAGTCAATGATAAGAAAAACAAGATTCAGAATGAGACCATCACACAAAAGTTTGGCTTCTTTTCGAACATGTATTTGCCTGAACTGATACCATGTCTGGAAAAGATGGACATTGATTGGAATGTAATTGAAGAACAAATCAAATTACTGGTGAGAGAATCTCTCCAATTCACCATATTGAATCCACAAAAACAAGATGAAACATTCCACCAATCAAAATCCAAATGTTTTCAATTATATGGTTATGATATTATGATTGATAGCAATTTGCAACCTCACTTGTTGGAAGTAAACTCAATGCCTGATTTGGCTGGAGTGAGTCATTCGCGTATTCTTAAGGGAGATTTCAATTTGAAATCAAAACTATTGGCTAGTGTTCTGAATTTAGTGAGATTACCATCCAATAATTCATCAAATGGCATTTCCACATTTGATGGTCAAATTGATGCTGATAATAATTTGTTTGTCAAGATTTAATTGCTTTTTTAATGTGTGATGTGAAATATATTTACAAAGGCAGAAAGAGCTATTGACCAAGATCCTTATAAGTAGTCATTCCTGAATAGAATGGATTTGAAGAGGTATTTCCTTGATGATGAGTGGCATGATGTTGTGGAATATTCAATCCATGTTCATATTCATCTTCATCATGTTTTTCCTTTCTATCCAATTTAGATTGATTCTTAATTTTCATGGCTTCCTCCTTCTTGATTCGTTTCTCCTCAGCAAGTTGCTTTCTTCTCTCCTCCAAATCATGTTGTTTTTTCAAATATTCTTCATCATTGAAATCATGACTTGTTGAATGTTGTTGTTGTTGGCTTACTGTTTGTGTAGTGCTAATTGGTGGAGGAGATGTGTCATGATGATGAAATAAATCATGATGACGAACCACTGGAGGAGCTCTTTCTGGAGTACTTGTGAAAGGATCATGTGATGATACTGTTGTATGTGATGATTGATGCGAAACAGTTGTTGGTTTTGGTGATTTAACATCATCAGAACAATAACTATTAAATAAATTTCCCAAATCATGTAATTCCTTCAACATATTCTCATTCACTTGTTTGAGAATTAAACAATTGCTATTTGTATCCATTTCAAATCCACACAAATATAACAGATCGACAGCTCCTTCAACATTGAGAACATTGGCTTTAAATTTTGCATTATCCAACTTGAGGGTTCTCAATTTAATTTCCGATGGATGTTCGAATATATTGTGACAAATCGAATAGAGAATGTGTAATGTTATGGAGGAGTTTTTCAGAGTTTCATTAGAATTGATCCAAGAACTGGCTTGAGTGAGAAGTAGAGACATTTTTTGTGTGTTGATCAATTTGAATATTGACCTTTTTAGTGTTTTATTAATGATTTCCTTTTTGGAACCTAAAAAGTTTACAATTTTTTAAATGCACTTTACAATTTAATAATAAATTATTTAATGGTTTAACCAGCACTTGGATACAAATACCAAGATAATGAAGCAGGTGGATGCCCAATCATTTTCAAATACATGGCAACATTATTTCTCTTCTCATCTGAAACACTCTTTTCCATATCGAGTAAATCTTGTGGATTGAATGAGCTACAATTATCCGAATTGACTGGCTCAACTATTTCTAAACAATCAAATCCACTTCTATTCCATGTATTTCCCTTTGAAGTAATCACAGAAAATCCTAAATTCTCTTGAGCTTTGTAAATTAACTGGTAATCATATTCTTCCAATTGTTCTTCTTCTACATTATATTCTTCATCAACTTGTTCATCAACTTCATCCTCATCCTCTCCTTCATCATCTTCGACATGTCTTCTCTTTGGTGCACTTTTAGGAGGAGGCACTTTAGGTTTATCATCCTCTTCATCTTCTAGATTGGAAGACGATGCTTGTGGTTCAATTGTCTTTAAGTTTTCGGCAAATTCCTTCTCCCCCTTTGTCAATTCAATATTATTCACTTGTTTGTACAAAATTAATAAAACCTTGTTTAGGAATGATGGGTTCTTGTTGAGTCTTCTCAATTTTACTCCGTAGAAAATACCAGCCTCAATGCAAGTCATTTTTTTTGTAATTTTTAATTTGAAAAAAAGTTTTGCAAGTTCCATCTGTTGGTGAACTTGAGAATTTATTTTCTAGAAAAAATTGGAAATTTTATTACAATAAAAAGGTAATATAGTTATTGGAAGTAGGAATTGGAGAGAATATCCTTTGGATAAGGTCTTGTGGCATAATCTCTCTTCAACATGCTCACAATAATGTCCAATAATTCATCCGAAAGTGCAGGGTTGGCTTGTTTCATCTTATTTCTAATAGTCTTTTCAAATTCGGCTGTATCCATAGTGAGCGATATGTGAGACAATGAAGTTTCTACATCCTTTGTAATAATTTGATACAATGTCACACCCAATGAATAAATATCAGTATTGGCAGTATATTTACCACCGAGAGCTAACTCAGTTGACATGAACAATGGAGTTCCTGCATAGGAAAACATGACACTTCCTTGAGTTTGTCTAGCCAATCCAAAATCTGCTAAAATCAAATGAATACTATCTTGAGACATTTCCTTAATGAAAATATTCGATGGTTTGATATCTCTGTGAACAATTTGTAAAGTGTTGTGAACATAATCGAGAGCATTACACATTTGATAGAGAATTTGTTTGAGAATATTTTCAGGGCATTCAGAACCAACCTTTACAAATTGATTTAAATCTCCCTTTTCATAATAGTCCATATCAATACATAGGATTTGATCAGAGTCAATCAAGACATCATTCACATGGAGAATGTATGGATGTGAAATGTTCATTAAACGATTTCCTTCCTTCAAAATGTTGTTCAATTCTTCCACTGATGAATATTTGATAACTTTGAGGGCTTTGAGTTGATTTCCACACTTGGCATCTTCTGCTTTGAAAACACTTCCAAAACCGCCTTGACCAATTCTAACAAGATTCTTATATCTGGACATTGGATCAAATTTAGAAGAAGTGCTTGATGTTGAACCAGTGCTTGTGTAAACACTCATTAATGGTTTGATTAACATGCTATTGTTTGATGGGAAATCAGACATGACAGAAAGTTCAGTATCTGTCAAAATGTCATGAGGTTTTGAATGTTCATAAGCAGATATGTTAGGTTGTTCATAGACACTGTCAAGTTTGGTAAGCTTAGGTTGATTTGTTGACTGTCCTTTCTTCTTCTTTCTCATGCAAACAATTGCTACAACAATGATGACTGTGACAATTGCTGCAATAATCACAACAGAAGGAATGACCACACCCAGAACAATAGCCAATGTATTGTCAGTAGTTGTAGTAGTGGTGCCACTCTTTGCTGGCGATTGAGTTGGTTGAACTGGTGTGATTGCATCATTGACAACAACAGAGAAAGCTGTCAAGTGATTAGTTTCACATTTGACATTAAATCCACCTGTTTGTTTCTTGACAAGAGTAGTAATCAATCCATCCCTACTCCAAGCATTCGAAACTTCATCAAAATAGACACAACTAACATTTTCGCTCTTGAAAACCAAGTCAGCAAAGACAATTTCAATAAAGCTTGTCAATCCTTGAACCTTAAATGCTGAACCATCGGATTTGAAAAGAGAAATGCTTACAGTAGCTGATGAAGCATCGGAATTGGATTGTTCCTGAGAGCTGATCAAACTAAATGGAACCGATGAGGAAATTTGTGAGTAAAAGTTTGAAGGGAATGTGAATGAGATGGAAGCTCCCAATGTGATTGTTTTACCACTTATTTCCTGAGGTGATTGATAGGAAACAGAATTCAATGGTGAAAAATCTGGCTTGAGAATGAGTTGTAATCTGGTCAATTGACCCAATAATCCACTAGTGGCGGCTGAGGAGTAAGCATTTTGTACAAGGGAGACAGTTTCATTGAAGGTTAATCCATCAACCAATGCTCTGACCATATTAGCTGAATAATAAGAAGTCACAGATTCAACACCCTTTACAATAAAACTAGTCAAGTATTGAATATCGGACTTTTGATTGGAGTAGACAGTTGGCAGGATGGTCTTTACCAGTTTGACAACTCTAAGGGTAGGTGAGAGGAGAACAGCAGAAATCTTATCATCAGCACGATAACCAATTGTTGTAATAGACTTTAAAGCAGAGATCATTTCAACCATGACAGTTGTCAAGGTTTGCTTAGATGAATCACTCAATCCTGATAAATCATCGAATGTTTGTTTACCATTTTGAAGATAGGTCAATAATGATAAAATAGAGGAAGCAGTATCCATCTTGATATTCTCAGCTTTCACACTTGTCCATTGCTGGGAAACATACGAAACTCTAGCAGAAAGATCAGAAGAAGGGAAATTAAGGAAAGGACCAGTAATTGATTTTACAACCTTTCTGTAAGATCCATTTCTATTAATTCCTCTCACATTCAATGATAATGCATTCAAAGAATAAGGTAATCTAGCAATAACACTACTCTTAGCAGTATTTGACAAGGTCATTAACTTTACATCTCCATCAAACAAATCAACGACATATGATGCCATATTATTTTCAAAAGAACTACATGAAATTATCAATTTGGATTCATATACCTTCAATTGAGAAGAATTGTAGCTGGTGAAATAATCACATGTGAAACGAGGATTGTAATCCATCTTTACATTGAATCTTTGAATATTAGTTCCAACAGAGTTGGTCACTCTGAGTTCGAAAACGTAATTAGAACCCTCCTTGAGATAGGAAACAGGAATGGATAGACTTGTCTTGATATTATTTTGGGAAAATGCAAAGTTTGATAGAACAGGTGAGTTGTAGAAGGAACCTGAAATTACATTCCAATAAATTTGACTGACAGATGTTGTAGAGTTTACAGTAGCTGTCAAATCAAGAGTCTTGATAAAAGGATATGGATTGGTAAAGCTATCTACTGAAACATCTGGAATTGCGCCAACTGTGTCAAAAACAGAGAAGGTACCAGTAATGGTTTCACTAAATTCATCATTGTTATTGACCTGAAGTGAAAGAGAATAATTTCCAACACCTGGATTAGGAATACTGATTGAATTGGTATAGAATGGTCCAATAATTTTGTTTCCGCTTGAGATGGTCCAATTGTAAGTGATTGGAAGAGCTCCTGGATTGACCGTGAGAAGTAACGGATTTTGAGAAACCAAACTAAAGGTCAATTCAGATTGATCCTTTCTAAAACCTCTGTTCAAGTTATTAATAAATAATTGAGAGCTTTCATATGCCAAATACTGCATAGGATATGTAGAAGAATAAATAACTGAATTGAACAGCAATTGTAAATTGACCGTTCCATAATATTTAACACCCAAGTAAGTGGTGCTGTCATAATAGTTTGATAATCTGGCAATTTGTAAATTTGGAATTGAAGAAATTGAGGTAATCAATGAATAATCTCCATCAAATTTGATCTGTGCAGAGTATGATCCTGCAGGTGAAAGAGAAAATTCAAATAAACAATCATAACCCACACAATTCAATTTACCAGAAGGAGTGTCTGTCATGATGTCAATGGATGGAGCGGTAGAATCAGTCTTGAATGTAAATGTTCTACTATTCGAATTGGTTCCACACAGAGAAGTCTTGGTGGAGACTGTAACAGGGAGATTATTTCCTGGTTTCCAATAACCTTTAGGAATGATCACAACCTTTTGATTTGGAGAAACGAGAGGAACTAAATCAGAAGGACCTGTCCATGAAATACTTCTTCCAAATGATTGAGAATAATCAGTTTCAGATATTCTCAAAATGGTGTCCGAATTCAAATTTTGCAAAGAGTTTGTTTGAGAACTAAAATCGAGAGTTAAGGAAGTTTGAGCATAGCTACCACAAACAGATCCAGCCTGTACTCTAAAATCATACTTCCATCCGTCAAATGATTGAGTTGGCAAGAAAGTTCCATTATCAATTGAGAAACCAGATCCCAAAATAATTTCCAGACCACTAGCTGAAAATTTACAAATTGGATCATTTCCAAGATAGGACAATTCTTTGCTTGCAAAAATAGTGGCACAATTATCGACAGGATTACCTAGCAATGTGAATATTCTCGCAACAGTTTTGAGAGTTGGTCTTCCTTGGATATCCAATAAGAGTGAGAGGAATTCACAATTAGGTCCATTGGTACCATTAGTACATATGCATGTATTTTCGGCAACACATTTACCACTTGAGGAACAAACTGATGAGTCATTGTAGACCTTTCCTGAACATTTGTGAGCATAACAATTTGGTTGGAAGCCAAATGAGCAAGAACAAGTGTCAGTTTCTATACACTTTCCATTTCCATTACAAACATTAGGATCAGATGCAGATAAACCAAAGCAATAGTAATTTTCACACTTGGTTCCATTGTAAGTTGGGTCGCATTCACACTTATCATTGCCAATACATTTTCCATGAGAGGAGCAGACCTTAAAATTGTCCATTGGATAACCGAAACAAACGTAACCTTTACATTCTGGTTGATAACCAGAAGTACATGAACAGTAATCAATATCGACACAAGTTCCATTTCCTGAGCATACCTTTGGATCTGTATTGTTCAAGCCAAAACATGTGAACTTTTCACAATTTAATCCAGAGTAGCCATCATTACATTTACAAACATCATTCGAAACACATTTACCATGTCCTGAACAAACTGAATTAATATTATAATCAACTCCAAAACATGAGGAAACCAAACATTTAGTACCCGTTGAATCCAAATAGGTTGAAGTATCACTACAGTATGGTGTTAATTTTCTGATATAGGCAGTCTCGTCAGAGTAGAAGATTTCACCCTTACTGTTAGCAGTCAAACCAACAAGGAAAGCATTTTGAACAACATCAACAGCCCTTCCACCCTCTCCAGAAAATGGACCAGTGGCTACACTTCCAGCAATAGTAGTCTTTTGATTGTTGTAATAAGCAATGACATATTGTAAATCGGTATAAATCAAAGCACCAGAAGGCAATAACTTGATTTTGTAATTGCGGGATCTGTGATCTGCTAGTACAGTATCTAAAGTTGTTGTCAAACCGGTTGAAGCATCCAATTTCTTAATGGCTTGATTATCTTTAAAGTAAATGTCTCCATTAGGAGCAACAGTACAAGCAAATGGCACCATTGGACTTTCATTACCAATAATTGAGTTGACTATATGAGAGGTTGTATTCAACTTTCTCAATCTAAAATTATCTCCAAGAATTAAATTTCCAGAATTATCAAAGCAAGACGAGGCGTCATTTTCAATGAGACCATCCTTAATATCAATATTCTCACCATAATTGTAAACCATTGGATAAATGTAGCCATCTGTAATGTTCCACATTCTTCTTGGATTTGAAAAGTACATTCTTCCTGTTGAAGCTGACATTGTGAATGCTGTCATTGCATCAAAGGAGAGGTAATTTTGAGTCATATCAACTTGTCTCTTAACACCAAAAAATTGAACACAAGTTCCTCTCAATCCAAGAATGGTAGTAACAACAGAAGGATTATTGTCTGGGAATTTCAATATCTGACATGACACTGTATAGTAAACATAACTGTTGTAATGATAGACAAATTTAGGAGGGAAAGTTGAACTCTCAGTTAATAGTGTGGTGATAACATTGGATGAAATTTGTCTCACACGAAAACCATCAATCATGTACAAGACTGAATTCTTTCCAATAGAAATGTGAATAATTGAAGAAAGCATGGCATTAGTGGCTGCTTGTACAGTATTATCCACTCCAATTGAACCATTTCCTGCAATTCTGTAAATCAATCCATCAGAGCCAATTTTTGAAATAGTATACATTGTTGCAAAATACAGTTCACCACTCACAGGATGCACTGCAATGCTCACTGGAGTAATGGCTGTGTTATTGGCAAGTGATTTATCTGCAGGAAAAGTACCGACTTGATTAAGTTTACCAGCCACTACAGAAATTGATCCATCAATTGCTGAAATTTTCTTAATTCTATTCGTTCCCCAATCAATAAAGATAATGTTATTTGATAAATCGGTGCATACACCCTTTGGAGTGTTCATGAGTGAGTCACTAGGAGAACCAGTACCAGCTACTGTGGTTATGGTGCCATTATTAAAAATCTTTCTTATTCTGTTCTTATCAGAAAAGATAATTTCTTCTTTCGAATTGACTGTAACACTTTCAACATTATCCGAAACTTTTGAATTGATTGCCATTCCACCATCTCCATAGATATTGGTAACATCAAAATTATTGACATTATAGTTGGAAATTTTACCATTGGTGTTAATTTTCTTCAATTTCATGTTTCCCACAAGATAAACTTCACCACTCTTTGGATTGACTGACATGTCTTTAAAGTATCCAACAGGTACTGTTGTTCCATCAACACCATCCACATCAGATTCTGTACCTACAGCAACTCCCATTAATGTTTTTATAGTACCACTACTTGTATTGACCTTTAGGACCCACTTTGAATAATCGAGAATGTACATGTTATCTTGTGCGTCAAAATCAATAGCATAGGGAGCATTTGTTTTGAAATCGTATAGTTTGTTACCTTCAGGATTTGTTGATACTTGTAGAGGATTGACTGTGGTGATTCGATAGTCTGGTTGTTTCCATGACACTGCTCCGTGAATAAACTTGTTGTTACTATTCGAAAGTAGTAGTAACAAGGTGATGAGATGAAATAACACGAGACTTGCGTGTCCCAACATGTTACACCTTTCGAACTTCATATTTTTTTGTTGTTTAGATTTCGAATAACTTCCATCATCTGCATGTGATGAAATCGTTTCTTCATGTTTAACTATGAGCATGTTTGGAAGAAAATAGTTAGCATAGGTTATGCGCATATCGAAAGATGCAACTAATCCGAACCAACCCATCACCAGTCACAAAGTATCAGTGACAAATTACTTCAATTTTGTGTTTGAGTGTCATTTTGATCTATGACGCTTAAGTTCCAAGTGCTTATTAGAAATATTTAGTTCATCAAACTGACTTTACGGTTTTTCAAACACAATTTTCAAAAAATTAATTTATAGTCTAATAATAAGGGCGAGAGATAATTGATATTGTCCAATTTGACGAACAAGGCTGCTAGGAACATTCACCTGTGGAGAATAAGAAAATACAAACATGTGTTGCTCATTGAGAGAGTATTGCAAAACCATTATGTCGATATCCCTAGTTCTTAACTCTGAACACAAGATTCTTTGATCAATCCATGTTCCTTACAAACTGTAAACTCTCACTTATCAATGTACAATAATGTGAAACTTCATGAAATGGAAAATGATAATTGAGATACTAATGGCTCCCTCAATACCTGTAATTGTTATTATTATTTTTATATTATATTAATTTATTGTTCTCAGATGATGCTGAATGTATACAACAATACTCGACCATTGAGCGCGACATTACAAGCCATTATGGCAGTTGGTGTTTGCACTGTTGATTACGGCTCTCAATTACTGAGAAAAAAAGAGTACCCACATTCTAAATAGAGCGCCTTAATTTGTGCGTTAGCACAAGCAACGTTATCTAATGAAGAAATCACACCACTTCCTATTAAAAAAATGTTTAAAGATCAGCTTCCACTGAAAGGCGATAAATCTCTTGTTACTACTGGTAACTGCTACTGTGGAAGAACAACATCCTTCATTAGTGAGCAAGGATTGTTATCTAAAATGAATTCAAAGACCTTAAACGTTTCCAACATGCTCCCTTACCGACAACAAGAACGATACACTATTCGTTCATTGGTTTATATTTTCACATGTATTCTATTTGTATTTTTAATGCTCTCTTTTGAGAGTGGTGTAGTTTATTCTGCTTCCACCTCAATGGAATATATTCAATTCCTTAGGGATAGAAGGATTGCTAGAGACTATGCAGCGCAGAGAAGGGCACTGCTTCAGAATTACACAGACACTGTCCAGAAACAACAACAACTTGCTAGAGCACAATACAGAGCCATATCCACCGCCTCTATTGCACTAAATTCAAATGTTTCAACAAATTCAAACTCCACATATCAGACACCCTTAACTTTTGTCAGTCAGGCGGGAATCACAAGGGCCATGACTAGAAATTTACAACAGCTTCAAACCTTGACAGTTACTAAATCTGATAATGTTATTGTTAACGTTGCAATGGATTTTTACTTGAATGGAAAGTACAAATCTGCCGTATCCTTATTAAATGGTTTAGAGAAGACGATGAACTCGACCATTAATCCAATACCATTCACAACACCACTTGTGAGTGGAAAGCTGACCTACTTTAATGCCAATTCGACATCAATTTATTTCAGATCTCCCAAGGTTGAACCACCAAGGGAGAGAATGTTCATGTGCACTGGAGATGCTTTTGGAATCCACCTAGATCCAGCCACCAGAGTGCTTTATTCTTGGGGAACCACAACGTTGGGAAGAATTCCTGCTACTCCAGCTCCTGGACGAGTTGATTTACCTCTCGACTCTGATGAGTACATTAAGCAAGTTGCATGTGGTCAACAACATGTACTCATATTGACCAATAGGGCTATCTATTCATGGGTTTGTATTCTTTGTTTTTATGTTCTTACATGCCTTTTTACATTTTTGTTTTATATATATTTATTCATTGAAATTTCAGGGAACAAACGCCAATGGAGAAGTTGGAGCTGGTTATCAAGGTGTTGTTACCTATCCTGTCAAGATCAAGAGTCATTCCAATACCATTACTTTTATCAATGCTGGACCATATAATTCAGTGTACCTTGACAGTGATGGCTATGCTTTTAGTTGGGGAAGAGGATCTGAATGTCAACTAGGAACTGGCTCTACTGCAGTTTCTTCTTCACCTGTTAAAATTTCTAACACCTTAAAGTTTACCAAGATTTGTTTTGGCAAAAGCCATGCTGTTGGAAGAACCACTTCAGGTGTAATGTATTATTGGGTATGTTATCAAATTGATGTGTTAATTTACAATTATAAATAGGGGCAAAGAAGGAATAGTGAAGGAATAGACAGTTACAGTATTCCAACTTCTTCGTACGTCAGATATACCTACGATAACTTGGGAAAGGTCAACGGAACCTTTGTTATTTCTCAGTGCACTCCAACAAATTTTACCTCTGACTTTTTTGTGTACTTTTCTTCAAGTATTATCGACTTTCAATGTGGTGATTCATCCACTCTTGCTCTGTTAGATACTGGACGTGTATTTGGTTGGGGATATAATTATAATGGTCAGTTGGGAACAGACGTCAGTTCTTCAACCATAAATCCATCTGCAATTTCTACCACCAACATTGGGTCGAGAAAGATTGTCAAGCTATTCCACAAGAATGAACAAGCATTTGCCTTGGCAGATGATCAAACAATATGGGCATGGGGTAGAAATGATGACAATGTTTGCAATCTTGGCCTTGCTAGATTTAATTATTGGTACGATTACAGTTGGTCAAGTTATGGCAGAAAAGGGTGCGGAACACAGTATGCACCAGATTCTCTGCTTTCTCCTCCAGGCTTTGATTATGTCCATGAAATTCACATCATGAAAGAATCAGCCATCTTGGCTTACAACAAAGACAGAGAGATGGGATTTTATGCTGGTGGTAAATTTTCAGTTCCATTCTTTAGCAGTGGATATTCTGGGTTTAGAAACTATTATACTAAGGCATTCATCTTTTCAATCGCTTACATTGTTCCTTACGAGAAGGTGTTTCCAGTATTTGATTTGTCTTCTCTTAGAATTGTCTATTCTGAGAATAACTTCATCTCCCTTTCTAATGATAATATGGACATGATTATGGTTGGTAAATCAGATATGAGTGTGAATATTGCAAAAACAACCTACGAAATGTTTGCTGCCTTCTCTTTCTGTAATACCCACGACTTTACAAAGGACGGTGCTGTTTTTTACTTTGGTGGTGTTGTGAATAATGTTGTTTCGAATAGAATTGCTCTTAAAACATCAGTTGACTCTATTCAGATTTTTAATCAAACTTTACCCTACCCTGTTGCCTCAGGAATGTTAGCAATTGTTGACGAGTACTTGTACATTTTTGGTGGGTTAACAGATGATAGAGGAACAACAATCCCAACATATAAAGTGATGAGATGTCATTTAAACGACCTATTGATTTGGGAAGAGGTTTCAAAGGTTCTACCAAGAGCAATCTATAATGGTGTTGCTCAAGTCATTGGCGACAATATTTATCTTTTTGGGGGTAGAGTTGGTAGACTTGCTCTCAATTCTGACATTTTGTATGCCTCTGCTTCTGAGATGATTTGGCAAAATAGTTATAGAGTTCTTCCTCACCCTTACACAGAAAGTAATCTGTTTAGTGATGACACTTACTTGTACATGACTGGTGGTTTTAGTCCAACTTATTCTGAATTGAAGGGAATTTCTAGAGCTCTCAAGAGCAATCCTCTAGTATGGGAAGATATCAATCAAAAATTACCAATGCCAACTATGGGTATTACCTCTACATTGATTCTAAACAATAAGCTCAATTTATTCTCCGTTGATTTACCTCAAAACTTTTTAAAAACTAATCCTAATGTTCCAATCAGTATTCATTCAATTTATTTCGCCAATGAAACTAAGCCATACGTGCCAACTACAACAGGCGTTGTTATTGCTCTTCAAACACTTGATAGTGCCTATTTTATTGGTAACGTGTTGAGGTCATGTCGTGAATACAAGGATTTGATTCCATCTGCTGCCAGTGGTGTTTATTGGGTGAAACCATTAGATACAATGAATAAGTTTAAGGTTTATTGTGATATGGAGTACCTTGGAGGTGGTTGGGCTTTGGTTTCATCAAGAACCACCACTAATAATATAGCCATTCCATTAGCAACGAATGATTATGTCAAGGTTGATGTATATGGTTATTCAGTCTCTGATGACAAGTGGGGAGCATTGAGAAATGTTTCCTCTGATATTCTTTGGAGAGATCCAACTGGATACTATGGTCTTGCCTCAATTTCTACCTTATCAACAGGTGGTTCTTTTGTTTGTAAAACATTGGCATCATCCTTATTAGACACTGAATTGTATCGTGTTGAAGATGGTAGCCCTTGTAATTATGGTACTGATACATGTTCATTGGGAGGACCAACTACAAAGAGTGGAGCCATTACAAGTTATTGTGGTAGTATAGTAGGTGGTGTTACAAACATTTTCAAGGCTTATACATTCCCAGTACCAGATTATGGAGTTACAAAAGCAAACATGTATATTAGATAAAACTGATATTGCCACTACAGTTGTTTTCAAATCTCTCAAAGTTTTCTTATTGGTTTCAGAAAAAAATGTTTAAAAAACTAATGTTGAAAGATGACACTAAACGATTTGATGCTCGTAAATTTGTGGTAACCTATGATGAAGTGATGGAAAATAGTGAAGCAAGGGATTTATTTCTTCATTATTTAAAAACCGTAGCATCAAATGAAGAGCCGTTATTGTTCGTAAATGATGTAGAAGTTTATCGGAATGAATATTCGAAACTACCTTCGGAATCAAACCAAAAGAATCAAGTAGAAAATTTAATGAAAAGTTGTGAAAAGGCTTTCGAAAGAGCTCATCAAATCATGAATACTTACATTCGAAACGGAAGTGATATGGAATTAAACTTGTCATCTTCTAAAAGAGAAGTTTTATCAATTTGGGATGAAAAAATTGAACCCTATTTCAGTGTAGGAAGTCAATCCTATTCTTCCACAACAGGAATAATTCAATTGAAAAGAAGATCATCTGTGACGGTTCAGTTTAATGCAAATTCTCTTGGAGAAGCTGAATTTCTGATTGGACAAATTGAACAAGTATTCGAAACGTTGAATCCAGATAATTTATTTAGGAATATACTACTTTCTATTGAGATTGATTTGAAATGTGATCAATTTCCAAGGTTTTCTAGATCAGAATTGTTATTTTCATTCTTGAAGAAACAAGGTGAAAACTTTACTCGTCAAATAGCAATAGATACATCGAAAGGTTACAATGTAGACTTTAGATTTAAACCTAGTCATTTAAATTCTAATGAAATAACAGAGAAGGATATTTATTTTGGATATAGTTTAATGGAAGATTCACCAGATTGGGAAATGATCAAAAATTCCAAAAATTCCAACTCGATTCAATTCTTTTATTCTAAAACTCAATATGTATTCCAGGACGATACTGCAATGCACCTAACAAAGTTCAATATGACCGTTCCATATCCATTGGAAGATGTTTGGAAAGTCTTTTTACATGTCACTGCCATAGAGGAAGGAAAAGATAACATGATAGACATTAGAACAATTCATTACAAGGAAGCAACTAAAGATTCACTTGGAATGAATTATTCCGTTGGAGTTTTGGATTTGAATTTACCAGGATTTAAGAATAGAGACATTACTCAAGTTCACACAAGTATTCATGACGAGTTGGCTAATAGTTATGTCATTATTGGACACAGTGGTAATTTTGCAGAGTTTGGACACGAGCCAAAGGATATGGGACGGTATGATGGTTTCTTTTTCTATCGATTCGATAAGATTAATGATAATTCCACTCGATTTATCAATGTTCTCTATTCAGATATTCATCTGCCAAAGTTTTTAATTCACAAATCAACACTTGTCAAGCTCTTTAAAAAGAGAGCATACTTTTTCCAGGATAAATTGGAATCAATATTGAAAGAACGAATGGGAAATTCAAATTTTGATGAATCATCATTATTGGATAAATTTCAAGTTCAAAGAGCTTTGGAAGATAACAAGATTTGGCATTCTGGAAAATCTTATTATTTGGAATTTCAAAAGAGGAGGAAATCTGAATAGTTTTTTATTATTAATTAATTTTCTAATTTAATTATTTTAAAGAATTAATTATTTAATTAGAAACTAGTTATTGAATTTATTGAGCAGTTTCAACATTGACTTGATTACAAGATTGATCGACAATTTCACTCATTGTAGATGACAAATCAGTCCAAGAGACTGTAATTGCTCTACTAGCATCATAATTCATACCTTGAATTTGTCTAGCTCCCCAAACATCAGTCATGGCATTACCAACAGCCATAGCAACAACCTTCCATTGAACTCTATTATTACCATTATATGGATTATCAGGATCATTTGGAACAATTCCATTAGCATCACGTTTCCAACTATTAATCTTCTTGGCAATTGGAACAGCATCAGCACATGGTAAACAATAGGCAGCATTACCACCACTACAATAGGAACATGTTTTTCCATTCAATACAGATGAATCAGAGAATTGGTAAGCACACATATTACGGAGAGCATTGGTTCTTGAAGTTCCTGAGAGAGTATTGAGAATGTCTTGTTGAACTGTTTTTGGATAGACACTTGGAGTGGATGACCATTCAGTTTCACATTGAGAACAACTACATGGTACGTTACCGAGACCATCAGTGAGCACTATAAAAGAAGAAATTGTAAATTATTGTAAAGTTTTCAAATAAAAAAACATACCATAAATAACCTTATCAGCATCAGCTCTACCACCATTAGCAGGTCTCAAAGCATCAACAGCCATTCTCATACCAGCAATAGTTGCAGTATTTCCAGCATCATACTAGTATTGTTAAATTAAATTATTAAATACTTTACAAAATTATTAAAAAACTACTTACAGTCATGGAGGTAAAAGTATTATTAACAGTAGCACCATTAGAAGTTAAAGACAATGCTCTAACACCTGATGAATGGAATCTTACAATTGAAACCTTAATGGCATCTTCAGCAAGTTGCATTCTTCCAATAATTCGTTTACCTAAATCTCTCATTTTGTTAAAGTTTGTTCCACCAATGGAACCAGATGAATCGTATAAAAAGACAAAGTCAATCTTGGCAGCACAGTAACAATTCTTGAATTCAATGAAAACATCTGCTTGACGTTCAGCTCCCAAATTAGTACGCATTGTGTATTTGAATTTGTCAGCTTGACAGGTCTTTTGATCAGAGTCGAGTTCAATAGCTTGTTGACCATTGTAAGTGACTAATCTAGGAGTACTGTGGCAGTAACCAGCTGGACATTCGAAAGAAACAAATGTCAAGGAAGTTGCTGAACCATATTCGTCATTGTCATTTGCCAAAATTTGACTTGTGAAAATTCTGATAGTTTGACCTTGATTAATTTGGAATCTATCATCTCTGGCAGTTGGTGGAGTAGCAGTGATGGTAAATGTAACAGTTGCAGTGTCAGAAGCACTTGGATTGTTATTGTCAACTACGGTTACTGACATGGTACAAACTCCAGCAACAGCTGATGATTTTCTATTGAAAGTGATAACACCAGATGATGAAATAGAAAGAGTAGTAGCCAAAGCACCAGAAACACAATTATTACTGGATGAAGAATATGTCAAACTGTCACCATCAGGATCAGTAGCAGTGTATGTGAAAGTGTGAATCAAGTTTGCAGGATCTGGTTTGAAACTGTAACCAGCGTCTTGAGCGATTGGTGCATTATTGGTAATAGTAATGGTAATTACACAAGGTGAGCTTGTATCTTGTCCATCAGTTGTGGTATAACTGACACTTGTCACACCACTTCTACTGGCAGCACTTGTGAAAACAGTTCCAGAAGTTGAACCAAATTCAGCTGGAACAGCACCACTCAAAGTATGTCTCAATACATCATTATTGACATCAGTTGCTGAGAATAATTGTGACAGGTCATATGATTGTCTCTTGGCAAGTGACACTGATGCAGCTTTACAAACTGGAGCAGTATTAAGGAATTCAACAGTAAATTTCAATTCGTTAGTACTTTCATGAAGTCCATCAAATAATTTGAATGAAATTATCTTGACACCTCTGACATCTCTTGGAGTTGTCAATCTAATAGTATTTCCAATTGTAGAAATTGAAATTGCTGAATCAGATGATGAGAATTTAATTAAGGAAACAGAATTTCCATCAATATCTGAGTAAGTAGCCATGTCTGTCCATGCAAAATCATATGAAGTTCTTGTATAATCTCTTTGAATTGTGACAGATTTGCCTGTTCCAGTTGGAGCATTATTAGTGACAGTGATGGTTGCGACACCTGGGTTGACAGCTGTTGCCAAACCATCAGTACATTGGAAATTGAAAGAGGCAGTACCAGTGTAAACATCTCCTGATTTGGTGTATTGAGCAAGAGTTAAGGATGGAGTAAAGGTGACGATTCTATTAGAAACTGAAACTGAACCACCAATAATATTGGAAACAGCACCATTGAATGTAACAAAGTTAGAATCCCAACTATCTGTATCTGTACAAGCACTTGTCAATGGAACTTGGACAGGTAAATGCCATTTAGTTGAAGCTGATTGAGCAACAGCTGAAGGGGCATTGTTATATAAATTGACATTTACGACAGTTCTGGAATCTTCAAGGGATTGAGCACCATCAGTGAATCTATAAGTAACAACATCTTGTCCAATGGCATTTGAAGGAGCATTGTAAACAATGGCAGTCTTTGATGTGTGAATTGTGACACTTCCTTTCTGAGCTTTGACAGCACTAATTGTCAAACTATCACCATCTGTATCTTTCAAAGTAGGTTCATATTTAGTGATAGGATTCAATTCTACACCAGTTTGTCTCCAATGGACATTAGCAGAATCAGCAATTGGTGTGGCCATGTCATTAATTACAGTGACAGCTACAGAACCAGGAGTTGAAATTAATCTGTCACTTGCAGAGAAGGAGAATGTGAATTTACCAAGATAGACAGAAGAGCCAGCCTTTACAACACCACTGGATGGTGAACTAAATGTCACTGTTCCAGCACTTGATGGTGAAATACTTGCAGAGCTGACAGCAAATGTCAATGGATTATTTTCAGGATCTGAAGAACCAGTTGACAAATCAATAGCATATCCAGCGGCATGTTTAGACCAATGGATTGAAATATCCTTATTAGTAACAATAGGAGCAGAATTAATTAAATTAATATTGACAGTAAAAGTGACAGTGGCAAGTCCATCAGTGGCAGTTGCAGTAAATGAATCACTTCCAATGTAAAGATCTGGAGCAGTGTAAATGGCGTTATTACCAGAAAGTGAAACAGTTCCCTTAACAGCAGAAGAAACTGAACTAATTTTACCAATCGATTCGAAACCATCTGTCATATCCTTGTCAGCATAATTTTGTAAAAGATTGATGGTCTTGGAAGTTCCCCAATTCATAGTTTGTGTTGGAACAGAAGCAGTTGGATTAGTATTATATGTTGACAATGTAACTGTCACATCATTATCAAAAGTGCCATCTGTCACAACCACTACAAAACTATCAACGTACAACTTTCTTGCAGGAGTGAAATAAACCTTTTGATTATCAGCATCAACAGTTGCTTGTCCTTGTGATGGATTTGTCTTTTTACTCTTTATAGTAATACTCTTACCAACAAATGGCGCCAAAATTGGAACTTGGAAATTTGTTGAATTCCAATGAACATCATACGCTTGATTGTAATCACCAGAATCCAAAGAGTTTACAATAATCTTAAAGTTACATTCAGCAGATTTGGAAATTCCATCACTGACCTTATAACGATAATTTCTGTCACCAGTATTTGTATTAGGTTTAAAATAAAGTTTCTTGGCATCTGACAAGTCCACTCTGAAAATGTCACCTGTTTGAATGGTACCTGCTGGATCAACTGGGGCAAGGAATGGGAAATCATTAGAATCAGCATCAGAAACAGAAGATCCCAATAAATAAGTTTGACCACTTTCAACAAATTGTGGATTAAAAGCAACGACAATGTCAGAACATGTTGGAGCATTATTATAGACATTGACACTTGCTGTTTTAATGCCAGAAGTGTCTAAGCCATCAGAAACAGAGAATGAGCAGGAATAGGTACCAACTTGGTTGCTTGGACCTTTAACTCTGACTTTGGCAATGCTGTCAGTTGTCTTGGCACAGTTGGCAGTTTCAGTGACAGATAGGGTTAAACTATCACCATCGAAATCAGTTTGTTTGGAATAAACTGTGAAATCTTGTTGATTGGATTGAGAAGCAAAAACTCTCCAGTGAAGAGTAGTGGAAACGTCAGAAGCAACTGGCTTGTCATTATTTGTGAAACTGACAGTGACAGTTGCATCAGTAGAGTAATCAACTCTATCAAATGCAGAATATTGGAAAGTATCTTGCTTACCATCCTTCTTTGGAGTATAACTGACAGAATTTCCATTCTTGACAGCTGCTGTTGAACCCTTGACATTTCCCAAACTAATTGGATCACTATCTGGATCAGCATCATTCTCCAAAACATTCAAATTAGTTGCAGAAGCAGCCCAGTGAAGTGTATATTGATCATCACTTGCAATTGGTTTAGTATTTGTAATGGTTACAATAATCTTTCCATCACTTTCCTTATTCCAATCTGAAACTGTATAAGAAACTTGTTTATCACCAGTGGAAGGAGTTGATTGATTTGGAATAAATTTGAGGAAGGTGGTAGAAACCAATGAGGAAGTGCCATCTGTTGAGCTAGTTCTGGAAAGAACAATTTCATCATTGTCTGGATCACTGTCATTTAATAATGGATTGATAAAGACACCATCTGTGTTTCTCCAGTGAGTGGTGGCAGTATCTTGTTGAGTGACAGGTGCATTGTTAATGACATTGACAGTGACAGTTGCAGCATTTGACACGGCATTTGCAGAGCTACCATCATTAAGAGTATATTGGAAGGAATCAGAACCAACAAATCCATTGTAAGGAGTGTAAGTAACCAAATCACCAATAACTTGAACAGAACCATGAGTTGGATTTTTAGAAATTGAAATTGTTGACTTTGACAAGTCACCATTAATATCCTTGTCATTATCCTTGACAGAACAAGAGACAGATCTATTCCACTTGGTTTCATAGACATCATTTTCAGCAACAGGAGCATCATTGACAACATTAAGTTTGACATTTGCCTTATAAGTAGATGTCATACCATCAGCATCAGTAACGTCATATGTCAAGAAATCAACATATTCTTCATTGACAGCAAGATATTCAAGAATATCCTTAGAACCCTTAACAATACTAGCCAAAATATTCTTAATAGAACTTGTACTAACAGAATTAATTACAGAAACAGATCCATATCCATCATTTGGATCAGAATCATTATCTAAAACATTCAAAACAGATGAAATACCCTTAGAAATAGTGAATTCATCATCAGCAGGAGTAGGTGGATTATTAACAACTTGAACAATTAATTTACCAGTTGAATAACTTGTGGAATCTGGATTTCCATTTTGGTCTTTGCTTTGATCAGTAATGACATATTGAGCAATGTCAGTTCCTAAGAAATTCTTCTTTGGAATATAAAGTACATGAGTAGAGTTGATACGAGTGATGGAACCACCTTGTTCAGTATTGGAATTCCAATTGACATTTGACAATTGAATAAGAGCAGTATCACCTTCATTGACATCATAGTCATTAGCAGCAACGTTAACATAAATTTGTTGATTCTTGTTACATTCAGCATGATCATCAACAGCAACAGGTGGAGTATTAACAACTTGAATGGTAATTCTACCATTTCCTTCACTTTCACCATCTGACATGACAATGTCAAGTGTTTGAGTGTAAACAATTCCAGGAGTTGGAGCAAAAACAATGGTGTAATTGTTAGTTTCAACCTTGATCCAATCACAACATTCAAATCTGACTTGTTCATAAGTTTTAGCTAACATTAATTTGGCAGGTGGATTGAGTGATGACAAGACAGGTGTAATTCTTGAAACGGTGACTAAATCCTTACGATCTGGGTCGTTATAATCTACAGTAATAGTGTTGTTAGAACTTGACTTGGCAACTTGAACAACTTTAGAATAAACAATTGGCTCACTATATATGGGTTTTAAATAAAATTACAAAAAATAGTTAAAAACTTACCTATTGTAAACTTCAATGAAAACAATAGCTGATGCCTCTTTTTGACCATCAGTAATACTATACTCGAAAGTATCAGTATACTTGGTATTCAATACAGATGATGTATAATAATAAATTGACTTTTCTGACACTTGAGTAGCTCCGTAACCAGCACCAATGGCATTTGTAATGTTAACTTCATCATTGTTAATATCATAATCATTGGCTAAAACATTGAGTTTGATACCAGAATACTTTGGAGTTCTGAAATAATCATCAACAGCAGTTGGAGCATCATTGTCAACTTCAACTGTCACTGTGGAAGAATCAGTGTCATTTCCATCAGTTATGGTATAATTAAACATTTCAATACCGTTAAAATTAGGAACAGGAGTATACAAATAACCATTATATGGATCAACTTGAATTGAACCAACAATATGACTATTTCCACTAATAATTTGTTGATCACCAAATGAAACTGCCAATAATTCATCATTGTCAATGTCAAAAATCTTTTCATCTGAATCACCAATATAATTAAAGATATCAATCAATGCCTTGTTCGCATTCTTTGAAATCTTTTTATAAATTGGCACAGCTTGTGGTGGTCTATTGACAACTGACACTCTGACAGTCGCATTAGCAGTAGCATAACCATTAGTAACTTCATAACTAAACGAATCATTACCCATAAAGGCACCTCTCGATTGATAAACAATCTTTGATTGAGACAAAATACGAGCTGTACCAAATGAAGGGGGAGAAACAATTTGAGTGAGTGTCAAATTACCACCACGTGGATCACGATCATTGTGAAGAACGTCGATTGTAACTGGAACACGTTTGAATGTGGATGCAACGTCAAGTTCTGCAACTGGTGGAGAGTAACCAATACCAGTGGTTACGAGAACGATGGTTGCGACGGTGGAGGCAATCACTAGAGAAGTGATAATGGCACCAACCTGTGTTCATTAATTGAATTGTGTTGTTTATAAAAAAGGAGATTAGAATAGTTTGTTGAGATTAGAATAAGTTTTTATGAGGAGGAGAATATACTTACAATTGTTTGACTGATAGTACCACCTTTCTATTGAGTATTGTTGGAGTTGAATGCGAATGTGAAGAAGTGAATGAGATGTTGGAAGATAATTTGATTCTGATAAATAAAACGAAAGTAAGCGAAACATACCAATAGAGAAATGTTTAAACCAAGCACTTGCTTTGAAGCAGTGGTGCTACCAAGAATTTCAGGCATTCTGAGGTCTTAGTTTAACAAGATTTTTTTATAATGATGATAAGAAGATACTTGACGATTGTCAATTGTCTTTAATTGAAAACTCAATTTCTTTAACGGTTGTTATTAAACAGTAATGAAACTCTTTAATTATAATTCGATTTACTCAATACCCCCAACAAGATATAAACCACGCATAAAAAACCCATAGGACAAACAAGTAAGGAAATTCTATTCGAAACTTGTCCTTTACAAACTGCCGGCGGTTGAATCTTATTTAGTTTGAATAGAAGTGACTGGACCATAAATGTCCGACGTACAGATTTTCATAATTCCTTCATTCGAATAAGGATTAGTTTAGTCTTAATTTTCATTTTATTATTGGTTTCATTTTCCTTATGTAAACTATTCGGTTTCACCAAGATTTTTTCATGAACTGAAAGGGATAATATGAAGATATTGTAATTTCAATTTTATGAGCCGATTCGTTCCCTTGTCCTGGGTGATGAATCTGAAAGATATTCGAAACTGTAGATAACAGCAAGCGAGGCTATTGTTATAATTACTTTTTTGTAGAATGCTTGAGTTGGCGGATTAACATTGATTGGAAACTGTTTAAACAAAAGTCTGTTAAACAGATATTATAGTAATTGAAACCTCATTCAATTATTATTGTATAAGTTTACAATATTCAGATTGGTATTCCACTCCTTAATGAAAATTAACCCTTTTCGATGAAAATAAATATTAAATTGAATTATTATAATTATTATATTTCTTTTTTTAAATTCAAAAAAAACAGAGTTGTGGTTTGTTATTCGGAAAGTTCGTTTGGATGTAATAATAGCATAAACAATAATTTGCATGTTTAATTTGCAAAACACTCTTGATTCTCTAATGGCAACAAGCAATAACAAATCAGAAACTATTATGTGATGCAATGTATTCTCATGATTTTACAAACTCCGAAATATCTACTCTTCTCTATTTGATAATTATCAAATCCTTCTCACATTAAATAATAGTACCTTATTAATATCAAAATCATCATCATGGTGTAGATTATCCAATTAGTTCGTCTCCGTATCCAACTACTTAAATCATCAAGATAAGTTAGTATGGTAAGGTACAACAACAGATTTGTGTTCGGACAATGATAATCCAATGAAAAATAATTTCCAAGTTATTATTGCCCAATATTATGATGATAATCCAATAAAAATTATTATAGTATGAATACCGTGTTGATGATACAATTCCGAGAATATTTTTCTGTAACGGTTATCGGAGTGGATAGGTTGAAAATTGGACAAAAAAAATTCTCAGCATAATTTTAAATTATTCAGCATGTGGTGATTGTCAGGAGCAATTCTTGATGAAACTAGTAAATATTACACGTGTAGAAAGGTGTGATGATATAGGAACAATAGGAGTTACATTTAGTGGATTTTATGAAAAGTTGCGAAATTTGGAAGGCAAAGATTAAATTTACGGCAAATTTTGTTGAACTGAAGAATTAATACCTTCATGGATTGTTAATTATTGCTTGTAAATAACATTGAAATGAATGCGATGAATTCCACTCAACAATACATCTCATCAATTTATTAATTTTATTATTTTCAACACCTTCAACAGCAGGTAGAGCAAAAACAACATCATTTCCTTGTTCTTCATCATCAATTACATCACCCCAGAAAGTTTGAAAACTTTCATTCGTACATTCAAAGAGCTGGAGAAGATGAAAGTAAAATAATTTAACCAAACAAAAAACACCTTTGAACAGATTTGCTCAATTTCAAGGGGAGGACAAAGATTTGTTATTGTACCACATCAGGAAGGGTGTTTTGACAATGTTTTTCAAGTGATTTGTAGTGATTGTCGAGTTGAATTTTTACATGCTTCCTAACATTAATGATGCATCATTTACTTGGCCAATCTTCATCAAGACAACAATAAATACATCTCCAGAATGTTATCTAACACTGCCGTTCATCTTGTTGTTTTAATTCAAAAGTTGGTCAAGATATTCAACGAGCTTTCCAACAACAACAAACTTCTATCTAATTTCAAGAAAATGTTTGAATTTGATTTATTTTTCAAATTTTCTGGTGGAGCAATAACCGTAATCTTCATTGAGGCTGGAGCCATAGCTGTCAATTCCTTGTTCATTCTCTCCGCAATTCCTTCAAACATGGTTGTACCGCCTGAAAGTACAACATTGGCATATAAATCCTTTCTAATGTCAATATCACACTTTCCAATAGAATTGAAAGTTGTTTCATGAACACCAGCAGCTTCCATTCCAATGAAATTTGGTTGGAACAACACTTCTGGACATCTGAATCTTTCGTTACCAACTGTGATAACATTACCATCTGGTAATTCATATGAAGTATCAATGGATGAACTGTCAGATGCTTTCTTCATTTCAGTTTCAAAATCAAATGCAACATAACAAAGCTTTTCCTTAATATCTCTAACAATTTCACGTTCAGCACTGGTATTGAAACTGTATCCACGTTCCATCAAGATCTTCATCAAATAATCAGTCAAGTCACGACCAGCCAAATCCAATCTCAAAATGGCATGTGGTAAAGCATAACCTTCATAAATTGGAACAGTATGAGAAACACCATCTCCTGAATCCAAAACAATACCAGTGGTTCTTCCAGAAGCATACAAGGACAAGACAGCTTGAATGGCAACATACATGGCTGGAACTCTAAAGGTTTCGAACATAATTTGTGTCATCTTTTCACGATTTGCCTTTGGATTCAATGGAGCCTCAGTTAATAAGACACCATGCTCTTCAGGACCAACTCTCAATTCATTATAGAAAGTATGATGCCAAATCTTTTCCATATCATCCCAGTTTGTGATAATTCCGTGCTCAATTGGATATTTGAGAGCGAGGATTCCCTTCTTTGACATGGCTTCATCTCCAACATAGGCATCCTTATTTCCCATTCCAACCATAATTGACCTTTGTTTTGGTCTACCAATTAATGAAGGAAAAACAGCACGAGGAGCATCTTCGCCAGCGAAACCAGCTTTACACATTCCAGAACCATTGTCAATTACAAGAGCTTGGTGTTCTTCCATTTTGTTGTGAGTAGTTTGAAGTGTTTTTTAAGTATTTTTGTTTTGTTGTTTTTGAAAATATTGCTGTATTGATTCAGGTTTTAAAGAAAAATTGGTTAGAGGATTAGTTTCGTATTTGAAGGGATTTAATAGACTTAGTACATTTGTTCAGAGTTCATCGACCTCAACTTGAAGCAAATTACTCACTGTATTGTTGTCTAACATCAATTCCTTAGAAAGAACTTGTGCTATTTTTGGAATTAAACATGTTTGGAATCTGCTTTTTAAAATTGGATAAAAAAAAAGATAATCTTTCCAAACCTTTCTTTAATGAATGACGTAACCATATTCCTTTCAAAAGTATTTCTATCATTACAATAACTTCTTCCTGAAAGTGAATCTTAGTATGGCAAATGATCAACTTCCAATGAATTACTACTTTCAACTTGGATGTTTCTCTTCAACCATGGAGTGACCATCAGATCACACAAACAAAATTTCAATCCAAACTAATGTTACAAAAAATGGTGAAGCTTTCACTAACGAATTGTTAAAAATTCCCTTGAAAGCTGCTCCAAGAAGAGAAAATATTCCTCATCTTTGACTAATGGAAATTTAGTAAATATCGAATTGATAGATTTTAACGTGAATTTTCCATCCCACATGTTGGAAAAATTCAAATCTAAACGAAAGAAAGCCTTTTCTATCTGATAATATTTCGGGGTTTAAATATCCGTTTGATGTAAAGAACCCAATGAATTGAAACGTGTTTGGAAGAGTCAATTATTTGATGGATCAGCTGGATTACAAAATTATGGAAATACTATCTATTTTTGTGATCCTTACTTGAAATTTTCGATATTAAGCTTGTCTGATGGAAAAGTTTTAGAACAAATTGATTTTGGATTTTGTGTGTGGAATGTTCAAGTGATTAATGAATTTACACTTGTATATTGACCAATCAGGATGATAAATATCTCTCAATATCGAAGAAAATAATAACAGTCAATACCGATTGCATTAAAGTTATATAAGGGAGGTTAGAATCTGTTTCTGATATTTCCAATAATTCAAAGAATAGTGAACAGGACAGCTACGTAGGAGGATGTACATTACAGTATTTTGGGAATAATTTTGAATAAGAAGAAACTTTCTGGAACATGCACAAGTATGGATAGCTTTTATTGTTAATATTTTCAGTATGATACAGCCCGTCTAGCTCAGTCGGTAGAGCGCAAGGCTCTTAACCTTGTGGTCGTGGGTTCGACCCCCACGGTGGGCGATTTCCTTTTATCAGCTTTGTTTATTTGATTGATGTTTTCATTCAAAATTTCCATTGACCATGGAGACTTCAAAACTTGGAATCAGTTATTGAACCTGTTTTTATTATTTATATATAAGCACTTCAAAGGAACAGGTATTACAAACATACAGATATCCACTTCTTCTATCTATTTTCATTCCAGTATTATACACAAATTCACCAAAAGTTTTTACCAATTCAAAATTTCCATTCTTCATTTCAATCACTGAAATATTACCCTTATTTTGATTAATAGAAATGTATAACAAATTAGAAACTTCTTCATGGTAAATATATGTAATGCCACCAATTAAAAAATCACTAATCAAGATCCATTCTCCATTATTCCTCCCATATAGTTTCAATTTTTCATTATCACCTACTAATATTTGATTTTCTGACAATATTTTCAGATAATAGCCATCAACAATTGCTGGCATATTTACCTCAAGAATAGGTGGTTGACCATTGCTTGAATCCAAAATAATAATTTCTGAACCACTAGTAATGTAGACCTTATTTTTGAAAACATCCAATTTCTCAATTTCAACAGCAAATATCGATTGCCAAATTAATGTTGGTTCTCCCTTCATCAAATCTGAAACTCTAATCTTAATTACTACACAATCTCCTCTAGCAGTTGCATAAATAAAATCCTCCCCTCTTTCATTCACCAATTTCATACATGCAAAAGAATACTCATATTGAACAGAGAGCAAACACTTAAATCTATCAACTGATAAATTAATTCCATCACCTTCTTGTGGTAGGTTATAAATTTTCAAATAATTTCCATCATTAATAATTAAACAATCGTACTGTTCCGATATGACCAAATCAATACCATCATCCATCAGTAGCACTACACCAATTTTTTCAAAGTTTTGTGAAAATTTCAAATGATTCTTAACGGAGGGAGAATTCTTCATTGTGTTGTTTAATTTCTGGAAAAGATCAGGAACTAGTGAATTTTCGTTTCTATTTAAATTAAAATCGATTAATTGCACGACAGCAGAGTCTCGGCTTTCCTTTTCTTCACTTATAATCATTTTTTTTTATTTTAAGTCAACCAACCCGAGTTGAATATCGTAGATCATCCTGTTCAATTATTGGAAACTAATCACCTCAAGTTTGTGATATTGTGGAATTTTGTTGCTGTTGAGTTGTTAATGTAAAAATTCTAAATCAAGAATGGTCCCCAGAGAAAAACTGTTCCAACGAATTAGCATTTCATTAACTTATGATAGTTCGAAAGGTTTCCAACGAAGATTGAGTTTTCTTTCAAATTCAATTTTTATGGATCCTGAAACAATTCAGTGTGTTGAAACCTGGATCCAGTCACTAAATCTTTTGTTCTTGATGAGAATTTTAATTTGATGAGAAATTCATTCTATGATTATTTGGAAGAGCCACATAGATTGGATACTATCTGAACTGAAATGAGGTAGAAAGAATAAAATTGGCACAGCTCATCGTGCGATAATTATGACACACAACAGAATATAAAAACCATTTTTAAGAAACTAAATCCTATCTACCTAATATAACATCTTGAACATTAATGTGCAATCACCCACTCTTGAAAATCCAAATGCAAGTGCTCCAATTCCACTTGTTTATAATTCATTTCCTTAGCCTTTGGGATGACTCTTTCCAATAACTATCAACCTAATCCCTTTCCTCTATATTCCTCTCAATACATTTTTCTATTCTCATTTTCTTTAGGATAATTTATAAATTCAACAACTGGCAATAGTTTTTGATTTAATGGATGATGTAGAATAAGAAAGAGGTTGTTTAAGTATTGCGGAAAACACTTTGGAATTAATGAAGGAAAAACAAAGAAAGATATTTTGAACAAGTTGGTATTAGGAAAATTCTTGATTTGGATAGCGTAAAGGTGATTAGATTTTAGTGAGGAAAGCGTGTTGATAATCTTTTACAATTCATTTTACAATTTAAGTTACCATCAAGTTGCTTGTTGACCTTCATATTTTATAGCATTCACCCATCAACCCAACTTGAACAAATCATTAACCTGTCATCACACTCACATCCCGATATCTTGACATTATTCACAAACAAAAAAACAAACTCTCAACATGTCCTTCTGTGAAGACGTTCAAGCCCTCGTTGTTGACAACGGTTCTGGAATGTGTAAAGCTGGTTTTGCTGGTGATGATGCTCCAATAGCTGTCTTCCCTTCAATTATTGGTAGACCCAAGCAAAAATCAATCATGGTTGGTATGGGTAATAAGGATGCCTATGTTGGTGATGAAGCTCAATCTAAGAGAGATATCTTGACTTTGAAGTATCCAATTGAACATGGTATTGTTACCAATTGGGATGATATGGAAAAGATTTGGCATCACACTTTCTACAATGAATTGAGAGTTGCTCCAGAAGAACATCCAGTCTTGTTGACTGAAGCTCCTTTGAATCCAAAGGCCAATAGAGAAAAGATGACTCAAATTATGTTTGAAACTTTCTCAGTTCCAGCCATGTATGTTGCCATTCAAGCTGTCTTGTCCTTGTATGCTTCTGGTAGAACTACTGGTATTGTTTTGGACTCTGGTGATGGTGTTTCCCACACTGTTCCAATTTATGAAGGTTATGCTTTGCCACACGCTATTTTAAGATTGGATTTGGCTGGTCGTGACTTGACTGATTATTTGATGAAGATTTTGATGGAAAGAGGTTATTCATTCAATACTACTGCTGAAAGAGAAATTGTCAGAGATATTAAGGAAAAGCTCTGTTATATTGCTTTGGACTTTGAAGCTGAAATGAAGGTTGCTGCTGAATCATCATCTGTTGAAAAGTCATACGAATTGCCAGATGGTAATGTCATTACTGTTGGTAATGAAAGATTTAGATGTCCAGAAGTGTTGTTCCAACCAAACTTCATTGGTATGGAAGCTGCTGGTGTTCATGAAACTACTTACAACTCAATTGGTAAATGCGATATTGATATCAGAAAGGACTTGTACGGTAACGTTGTCTTGTCTGGTGGTACAACCATGTTCGAAGGTATTGCTGAAAGAATGACCAAGGAATTGACTGCTATGGCTCCTGCCTTAATGAAGATTACGGTTATTGCTCCACCAGAAAGAAAGTACTCTGTCTGGATTGGAGGCAGTATCTTTGCCTCACTTTCGACCTTTCAATCTATGTGGATAACGAAAGAGGAATACGAAGATGCCGGCTCAGGTATCGTTCACAGAAAGTGTTTCTAATTATATGCGAAACATGTTAATATTTAAATTGAGTGTAGTTCAATAACTACAATCAAGTTTAAGGATATTTCTTTTTGTAAGAATTTCTTTCCGAGTTTGTAATTGTGGATTCAGAGTTGATTTATTTGGGTTATTTAAGAGATTACTTAGTGAAGATTTATATCATTGATTATATTTCTTATCATCTATTAATGATGTAAATTTGATGGTTTCATTTCTTATATTGATAGATATTTAAAGGTCAGGTCAGTATCAACTTTTGAAATATCGACTTTAAGAAGTCAAATGTTTGGGACGTGAATCTACTCATTAGATTGAATAGGTATTGCTAATAAAGTAACATTTCATTGATTTATTGATTATAATGGTCAAATTGAGTTGAATGGAAGTGAATCTAATGTTGATTCATCGTGGAATGGTAGTTTTCGGTACCAACCTTTGTAGATTGAATCAGGTTGATTTGCATGCAATCTGAAATATGTAGCATGATTCAAGTGATTATTCACCAATTCAATGATCAATATTCAATAATCGGTTTGATTTCAATCAATAGCTTGATCATCAAGCTTTGAATCAAGATTCCAGTAATCAACGGCAGTCTATTTTTAAATTTAATCAAAGACCATATATAGTATCTTGACTTTTGTGATCTGGAAAAAAAACTATCTAGATGTGTTCTATATTTAATAATCTATTTGAAAATGAGAAGAATTAACTCTTCTATTTAGTTTTATTGGTATTGAATGGTATTACGATTATAAAAATCTACACATAAATCACTCTTGAAATATAAACTGTACTACAATGTACGAGAAACATAATGGTGGTGGAATTAATCAATAAATCGTTGAAATGACTGAGAGGGAATGTAAACTCTGGTCTATTCGTCATGTAATGGTGACTAGACAGTGTCAGTTTCATCAGATTATTTCAAACTGATTACATTCAATAAAAAACCGTTCCGCACATCAAATCTGTCCTATAGAATGAGTTTCAATATTTAATATTGTGAACTGACTCTGTTGGATACCATCTCTATAAATATAACAAGATGAAAACGGTCAACACTCAATTTCACATGCATCTTACTATGAAGAGTCATTATTATATCATCTAGATAGGTAATATTTCAAGTTTCAGTGGAATTGACTGTCTACATATTGAGATGTGTATACTAAGGGTTAAGAAGTGTCACCTTCACTGATTACTGACATGAATATGACAATTGAATATATTATTCTTGTATAATTAATTCATTATTCAATGACTTTGATATGATGGTAAAATTTAATTTTGGAATTAAGATTATTCCCTATTGATTACCTTAGATGTTCCTTAGTTGACTTGAAGATATTGAGCCATGAATATAAAACTTTCTCAGATTGTTCTCCTCATCAAGGGAAGTGTATTCATATTTGATACTAGTATGATATTTTGTAAATTGACTGAGATGGTATTCATTCTATATGTTGAAATATGACAATTGGACAGATTGTTATTATTATCATATTGAATTCAATTCTAAAACAATAAAATTGATACCAGATGTATATCAGTGTGACTAAATTTATCTGGTAAAGTTACATGATGTTTGGATATACTTTCATTGAGACAGTGTGTACAATTGGATATAAGCACTATTGACATTGAACATTTACTGATTGACTGAATGAAAGTATCATGAATTGTTTCTAAACTTGTATATATGTATATAAATGGTGTACAGAATGTGTATTATCAATTCTAGACTAATTGCATATAAAATAAGTGACTTGGAGCATAATCTTTTATTTTATGTCAAAGTTCTATAGTAAAATGATAGAGTTGACATCTCAATATCTACTGAGCCTATATTCTTGAAATTGTTAACATATCAGGCTCGCCACGTGCTGTTTAAACTTGATTATTGGGTGCAATCATCGGAATGGGGCAATGTGTTTGCATTTTCATAAAGATGTTGAAGTTTGTTTTTTTCATTTTGATGATCGTGTCCTTATATGGATGGTGGTATAGTTGGTTCAGGAAACGTGTTGTTTTGATTTGTTTCTTCTGTGGCTCCATGGTCTTTATGATCTGATATAGGGTTATTAAGCGCCGTTTGGGTATTTTGTTGGTTTTTTTAGTAAAGTTTTAAAAAAAGTATATAGTTCTTATCTAGTTATCGAGTTGTGGTGTAAATGTGTTGTTTTCAAGCTATTCGAAAGTAGTAACGATTTCGATATTCCGTTACTTTGCGTCACTTTGCGGACGGACTTACATTCAATCAATTTGGTTGTCATTCATATTGATGCGTAGAATTTTTGAGAGTATTTTTGAATGTACGTTATTTTTATCTACGCATGAATGAAAAGTACAACAATGATCAAGAGGAATTGAGTCATGAGTATGATACTTTCTCAGATTGTTCTACGCATCAAGAGTATTCGATTCAGGATTCTATTCATATATGATATTTGTAATACATATATTGAATTGGATGAGATGGAGTGCCATCTTGTTGTTAAAAGTTGAGTAGACATTAAGGTATTCAGTAAATTGATACCACATGACTAATTAGAGTGATTATATGTCATTATATCAATTTCTTTGAAAACAGACTTGCTTTTGGACCTTTCAGATTTCTAGCCACAAATGACAGATCACCAAGTACTATCTACTGGATGCATTTCTTGAAATAAAAGTATATAATTTGAATAAAGTCCACTTTATTTGAGATGTACTACATGATAATAAAGTTTATTTTGAGATTGTCAACTTTTTCTATTGTATCATCCTTAATTGTCTTAATTGACTAAAAGAAGTCAAGGAGAGAT